ACGCCATAATTAGAAATAGTTTGATAAAGATAATAAGAAAGGATTGATTAAATTGAATAGAATGAATGCAGTTTGATAGAATTTATAGATATTTTAATTAGAAACTAGCAAATAATTACTAATAAGAATAGCTTATATCATCATCGATCAGAGCTATTTTAACTAAAAGTAATAAATAACTTTTATGGATTAGTAAACTGATCCTTTTCTGAAGCTAAATGATTTAGTAAATGACTAAATTGATTATATATTAAAGTATAGAGAAATGCATTCTTAATTGTTTCACATCAGTAATATTAGTGAAATCATTGAGTTTCATTTATGATAGTAAAAATGCTAGAAAAGTACTTAAAAAAATTAATTAATTAAAAAGAAAATTTCCTTTCTACTAAATTTTTTATTTATGATTAGTAAATAGTTTAATAGAGGTGATAAGAAAACTCAACAAACATTATTTGAATAGTTTATTGCAAAAGATATTTATAAGTTTGAATTAAATATGACATAAATTCCAATATTTTTTGAGTTTAACAGAATTAATATATTGAAAAAAGGCTTCGGAGCAATCGAAAGGGCAAAAAAAAATTGATCAAAAAATAAAACTTTTCTATTTCATTTAAAAAGAAAAAATAAGCATAAAAATCATTTACTTGAAAAAAATTCTAAGTGAGTAATTTTCTTTTATTTTTTTGCTTTTTTTTCTTTTTTTGGTCTTTTTTGTATTAAAATTGCAATAATTTTATCAGATTTATACAAGAGAAAATTATCAGTTAATGAAATCTTTGCTTTTTTTTTATGATTTGTAACCTCCAGTAGTAGCTTTTTCTTAAAGATGAAAATAATGATAAATTTCAAATTTTTATTATCTTATCCAAAATTTCAATCACAAATTCTAAAAAAAAAGAAGAAAAAAAAAAAAAAAACAAGAAAAAAGAAATTCATGCGAAAAATTGTAAATTATCACTGAAGATGAGATTTAAACTAATGATAAAAAAAGAACATATTTCAAAATTAAGCAGCTGAACCATTGTAATTAACTAACCATCATAAACATAAAAAACTTGAAATAGAGTTCTCTTTAGATTAATTCAAACAATAAAATTATGAAGTATTACCATACTGATAAGGAAACAATGATAATATCTATGTAACAAAGAAAAAAACAGAAAAAAAGCTAATCTTTTCATGATAACAAATTCCTCTTAAATATGTAATTAGTGAAAATAAATTAGTAAAACTATTAAAATGAAAAGCTGTCCTCTTATATTTTAATTAAAATTACAACAAATTTTACATGCGTAAAAATACGTTTGAATATTTGATCTTAATCTAGTCTTCAGCCTTGATCATGTCCTATCTTTAAGCATTAACTTAAGAAATAATTTGAAATAGGAGTTATTTAATTAGAGAAGTATTTTATGATTAATCACTTTTAAAATTAAAATTTCACACAGCATATGAAACTTCATTTCATTGACTAATTTAATGAGAATTTCAGTATTTGAATATGCTATGCAAATGAATGAAGAAGCGGTAAAATGCAGCAAATTAGCACATATTCATACTTAATGCATTCAACAAGTGATAATATGGCATTTTCTTGAATTTATTTAATTAGGAAAATTTTGCTAAATTATTTACCACTTCTAATTTTCTTTATTTTACTGATTAAATTTTCCAGTCGTATAGTTAGCAGGTGAAAAAAAAGGAATGCAGCAATACAGAGATTAATTAAGTTTCGATATTAGCGCTTTCATTAAAATATGCTATTACAAAATATCTATAAAAAATTAGTGTTAAATTAATTTAGCTTCGACAAAGTTTAAATTTCTGTTTGTAAAATTTTATCATTAACCATGATCCTTAGTCTTTACAACTATTTTATAACATTTTTTTTCAATATTTATTATGCAATAACATTTTCAATATTTATTAAAATTATGTATTGAGCATTTTCATTTATTAAGAATAAAATATATCAAAAAAAAAAAAAAAGCGACAAAAAATATTCACTGATAAAGAAGTCAATTAACATCAATAGTGAATTAATAAAAATTCCGTCAAATTGCGCTCAGCGCTCAATATGACAGCAAAAAAAAAAGTGATAGATTAAGATTAATTTTTTTTTTATTATTTTGCTCAATGTAATCTTTTTGTTTATGTTTTACATATTAAAAATATTAATATTGAAAAATTTGTAAATTTAAGAAGTAAGATAAAATCTTTTAGGATATTAAAAAATTATTGATGCATTTTGAATAATTCAAAAATAAAAAAGGTAGTTTATTGGCTTTGTAGTAAGGCAAAACGTGAAATGACTCAAACTATTATCTTCATTTTGTTTCTTCTTTTTTTTTATCGTCTAATTTAATTTAATGCTCATATTCCAATAAAACTTAATTAAAATGTAAGAATAATTTTGAAAAATGATAATTTTAACAGTTCATGGATCAAATATCTTCAAAAAAAAAAAAAAAAACGTATCAATTTTTGCAAAATTGATACAAATAAAAAAATTCCAATATGTTTTAATTCTGGATAGAAAAAAATTGAAGTATTTCTATAAATTTCTTCGAAAAAAAATCAGCTTTTAAAAATATTCAAAAAAAACGAGGCAAACGAAAAATATTCAAAAGATAAATTTTTAATCAACAATAAAAATGTCACACACTGACAATGTTATTATTGATGATGATGATAACGAGCATTATTTTTGTGTGTGTATGTGTGTGTTTTTTTTCTCTAGAAATTAAAATTAAAATTAAAATAAATACATCTGTTATGATACCACAATTTCAATAGCAAACAACAAATAATATTGCGTAAATTGTCACTTTTTGATATTTGTCACGAAGTACAAAAGCAAATTGCGTTTTATTTTATTTTTTATCTGATTTATTTTCTAAAATTAAATTTATTCTGTTAGAATTAATTTACATAATTAGCATATCAATTTTAGTTTTGTTCAGATTTCAATTTCATCTAAATACATTATTTCATTTGCCATATATATCTTTAGTACACTTATTTTAAATGTCATATCATACTTCTAAAGACTGATAACACTCTTTTTTGTGCGTTTTTCTTTTTTTTCTTTGTTGTTTAATGAATTAGACAGATGAGTTTTAATTAATTTATACCTTTTAAATAAAAAGTTTTATTAAGTTGTTAACAAAAAAAAAAAAATTAACAAGATTAAATTGATCATTTAATAAAACAATGAATGATATAAAATTGAAAGAGTGAAATTTTGATTTTGTCCTTTCTTTATGTTACATATCAAATGAGAAAATAAATTTTGTTTTTAACCAATATCAATTTGAAATATTGATATTAATAAAGTGAAAATGTTAATGTAAATTTTTATCTAATAATACATTAATGAAAATGAAATATAACATAAAATAATATCGATGAAATTTTTCTTTAAATAGCAGCAAAAAAAATTTTTTTTTTTAAAAAACACCCTATAAATAAGAAAATAGCAAAATTTTATATTATAATATGTATTTCATTTTAATTCTCAATGTTAACAATCATAAAAATTATAAAAGCCTCGGTTAATTTTAATAGCTACAATAATTAACTTTAACAAATAAAAGAATGCGTTAATTAACATTTATAATTTCTGCTACATTTTATTTTTTTACCATTTAAATTGAAATGAAATACACATTTTAATATGAAATTTATTATGAGTGAAATATGAGTCAAACATAAAAACTCATTCAATAAAAAAAATACAAATTTGAAAAAAAGAAAACAGTTGAGCCAAAAAAGTTTTTTGTAAAAAAAAAAAATGCTAATTGAAAAAGTATTACATTTACATTTCAAACAAAAAGTAAATAATATAATACAGCATTATCAAATGATTTAATTATCATTTCTAATGCATTTATATGATAAATTTGATAAATTATGTATAATATTTAATTAAATTCTGTCTTTTTTCTTTTTGATTTCTATTTGAAAAAGCGAGAAAAAAACATTCAATTAGCAGTGTTTATTTTTTTAGAAATAAATAATTTGCTATAGAAACATTATTTTCTTATAAAACAGCATGTAAAGGGAATAATTTGTGAAATTTCAATATAAAATTAATAAAATACAAAAGATGAAATAATTAAACTAGTTATGATGAAAAATTTTTGCAATAATTTATCAAAATGCCATCATCACAACTGATAATAACGTATTTATAATTGTTGTTAATTGTCATTGATTAAAATCCGCCGCTCTTTTTAATTAATTACTGATTAGAAAAAGGAGAATAATAAAGGATAATTAAATGTAAGGAGAGAGAATAAAATTTAATTCTTTATGACATTTATTTTTGTTGATTGGTGCAAACATTGTTTATTTTAATTTATAATATAAAATTTGTAATTTAATCTAAATTTTTGGCATGAAAAATTTATAACACCAGCCTATAAATTAAAATCTATAACATCAGTTTTTAATCTAATATAAGAATATCAATTTTTAATATTACAAAAATTTATAATCTCACTTTATAATTTAATATAAAATTATCAGTTTAGAATATTAAAAAATTTGTAGTATCAATTTATAATATAAAATTCATAATGCTAATTTATAATTTAATGTTAAAATATCAGTCTATGTATTAAAATTTATAATACCAAATTGTAGTATAAAAATTATAATATTAATTGATAATTTAGTATGAAAATGTCAATTTATAATATCAAGAGAGAAAAATTTTTTTTTCTTTTGCATTGAAATTTTAAATTATTCCATTTCACAAGGAAAGAAAAGAAAATCATTGCTTTAAAAAATTGCAAATGCTCAAAAAATAACGTTATCAAATTGTAAACATTTTCAAAGAAAAATAGAAAAAAAGAGAAAAAAGGAAAGCAGTACAGATGTGTGGTAATGGAATCAATTTGTAAAATTAAATTTAAAATTATCACATCTGCTGCAATAAAAAAAATGCAATAAGAAATTAGTAATTGGAAATAAAAACAATTAGAAATTGATTAAAATCGATATATCTTTATTCTGCTATGATGAACAATTCTTAGGATTTTCACAACTACCTAAAAAACATTTAATTAGTTTACTGAGAATATAAATAACAAAAACATTTGAATGGAATCTGTTAATAAAATGAAACTTGCAGCAATAATTTCGCTTTTTTTTTGTTTTTAACAAAATGAATTCAAGAAATATTTTTTTATCATTTTAAACTCCTACTGATAATTTTACCATTTTTATCACTCATTTTCCTTTTTGCTTTTTCTTTAAATAATGGTATTTGCTATACAAAATTTTGAGACATTAATTATTTACAGAGGAAAAGTAGGAAAAACTTTGAAATGTAACAAAAATTTTTGTTGCAAAAAAATGCGAAATTAAGAAAAACACTTTAAATTTTTTTACAATGAAGAAGAGACTAACAATAACTTTTATTTGTTTATTTATTTATTTTTAAATAAACTGGAAATTAATGATATGAAATTAAAATGGACGTATAAATATTTTAAAAAGTGTAGGATGCATTATAAGTGGAATAGGAAGAAAGAATTATACAATTTGCTATTAATTTCTTCAACAAATTATATATATTTTATTTTAATTCATAATTTTGTTTTAATCCATTGGAATCTATTTTAATTTCATTCATAATTTAAATAAAAAAACAATGTTTTTGTAATTGATGGAACCAAATAAATGAAAAATACTTTGCTTTTTGTTGTTGCTTTTACAGATATTAATTATTTGATATTAAATGAAGAATTGAATAAATGATTTAGAAAATTCAAAAAAAAAAAAAAAAAAAAAAAACCTAAAATATAGTATTTTTCGCATTTATCACTTCTCGATTGACTTTCGTTTGTCATTTCAGTATTTCCAGTTGCTAGCATTTTCACTTTTTTTATGGTTGTTTATTGAGCTAAAAAATTGACGACCACAAATTTGCTAATATTTTAAAAAATTGGCTTACATACCTCATTCAGAAATTATCATTGTATTACATTTTTTTCAAAATTATCATTTTCTTGATGGCAACCATATATGAAAGATGGTATGGCTTTTTCTCAACAAAATTTTCTGAATTTTTTAAAATTAAAAAAAAAAAAAAAACATACTTCTTCTTTGGTCAACTTTATTTGTTGTTTCTTTATTTCTGCAACTTGTTTTTGCTGATTTTTTAATTTTTCTCTATTCTTTACATTTTGCACCTCAAACGATAATAACTGCAATTCTAATCAAATATTACAAAAAAATTTAAATGTTGGTAATTTCCCCAGCATAAAAATCAATAATGTTAAATAATGCAATAAAAATTTAGTGTTAAAAGTTTAGTTTCTTTTTTACTAATCTTTTTTTCTGCATCATAAGTTTTAGATACTGCCTTTTTAAAAAAGTTTTGATTTAATTGGAAGTTAATAAAGTTTATATAAAAAATTAAAATTTTAATTAGAAGCTTTTACAAAATTTTTTGTTATAAAAAGTTTGCATATTTTTATTCCCTGTTTTTGTACATTATAAAAATGTTATTAAAAAGTATTATAGAGAGAGGAAAAAAAACAAGGATGCATTTGAATCAAAGGATAAAAGAAATAAATCAATAATTTCGTGTTAAATTTGTTAATTTATAATTTCACAGTAATGTTTTTTTTTCAGAAATTTTACAGTTACCTTTTCAGAAATATCTTTTTCCTGAACCTCAATTTTACTCAATGATTTTGTTTGTAGCTTTGATAATTTGATAATTTCTTCACGCTTCTCTGAATTGAGTTGACAATTTTCAAGATAAGCTAATTTACGTGATTCTTGAGAATAAGTTGGTAAAAGGTAGCAATTACAGTGGTTATGATTGGAAAAACGATATTCGCGAACACCCTCAAACCTTAAAAATTAAATTTAATCTAACTTATAGCTAACTTCTGAAATATAATGAAGTATAAAGAGTTTTTTTTTAAAAAATGATTAAAAAAAATTTATGAAAAAATTTTTATATTTGCTGAAAATTTCTTATTTAAATAAATTTATTCTATTTCACAACTCTCTTATATATATATATATATAAAAGAAATATATGATAGATGTAAAAAGATATATAGTAGAAGTTGTAAAATTATACGAATGAAATTTTTAATTGATAAGTTAACCTTACTTGATATGTAAGTTTTCATAATAAGTTACTTATCATCAGTAAAACCTAGAAATATTTACTTGGTAGATAAGTCTTTCTTAACAAATTAGTCATCATTATCATGATAGGAAAATTGAAAATGATAAAAAAGAAAAAAATATTTAAAAGAATAATTTTAAATTGATTAAAAAAAAAAGCAGAAATCACTTAGTGGCAGCTAATTCTGGTTCACTTGTTGAACACATTATATCATTAATAGATGATGATACCGAGGTGCAAGCTGTAAAGAAAATTGCAGATGATGAATCCATTGCATCCCAAAATTTATCAGATGACTTGCCGTGAAGCAATCTCTATAATTTAAATAATTAAAATTATCATATAATGCTTACCATTTTTCCTTTTTCTGCTTAAGAAAAAAAATAAAAAAATTTTTTTCAAATATCTTTAAATAGCTTTAAAGCTAATGCTAATATATGAAAGTTAAAATTTTCTTTTATATTACTCATGATTAAGTTCAAAAAAATTTCATTGGTAGCATATCAAAAATATATTATAATCTACTGACAGCAATATTCTTTGCTTATGTTCTACATTTAAATTACATTGCATCACTGAGCTTATTCTTGAAAAATAAATATTATTTTATCACTAATTTTATCAATCTTTATCATATTATCTCTTTAGCCATTAGCGTCCTTTTCTTTTGTCAAACTAGCTTAAAAATATTTTCACTTGTAAAATTGGCTAATCCTTTTCATGATAGCACAATATAAATATTATCACTGTTTACTGATAGCAATATTCTTTGCTCATGTCATACTTTAAATTATACATACTGCATATCTCATTGCTCACCTTTACTCTTGAATAATTAAAATTTGAAATGTTTAAGCACTTTAAAAATCATAAATAGCATAAAATTTTGTAAAATTACAGAAAAAAGAAAATGACCTACAGATTTTATTTTTTTTCTTTTATTTAGCATTGATGATGATAAATCATTTATGCTAATAATTGATGCATTTGATATTGATTCATGTTGTTTACGTCGTTGCATAGACAACATTTCAGCAAGTTGACATTGTGTTAAACCAAGTTCACCACGTAACATTACTAATTGCATGCGTAACTCACGGCGTTCACCGTCACATGCACCATATTCTTTACGTATTCGATTTAATTCACGAAACATTGTACCAGCTTTTTCCTTCCATCTAGAGAAAAAAAAAGCGAAAGAAAGTGAGAAATTAGGACACCTCTGAATAATTATAAAATGTTAGATACTCTAATATTTAAATTATCTGTTAAATTAAATTTTAATTAAATTTTTTCTTTCAAATTTGAATTAAAAATTTTTTTCATATGTAAAATAACTTTTTTTTAAATATGTAATAATATAATTTTGTATATAAAAAAAATTATTAAAGAAAAAATTAAAATTAGTAAAATAGATATATATGTAAAATAATTATTATTTAATATGTGATAATGACAAGAATTGTTATAAAAATTAACTTCTATTCTTCTTCAAAATTAAACTTTAATTAATTATTCCATATGTAAAATAACTATTCCTTATATGTAATTTAATAATATGTGAGAATAATTATTTGTAAAATAAAGATATATGTAAAGCAATTATTTAGTATGTAACAATGAATAGAATTATTATAAAAATATAAAAATTTACTGATATATATTTCTTTTTGTAAATTAAATTACAAATTATTATTTGATATGTAAAATATTTACTCTTTTTTGGCATACAATTACATAATTTAATATGTAAAATAATTTACAAAATAATCTCACATGTAAAAATCATCAGAATTGTCATAAAAATTTACTCATATATTTTTTTTTTTTGCAAAATTAAGTTTTAATTTATTATTTAATATGTAAAATAATTATTCCTTTTTAAACACATAATTGTATAATTTAGTTTGTGAAATAATCATTTGTAAAAGAATTTTACATGCAAAAATGATAAGAATTATTATAAGAATTTACATTATACCTAATATAATTATTGCAAAAAAAAAATATATATATATATATACATATATATATAGTATAATTATTACAAAAATTAATATAAATATGCCCTATATAATCATTATAGAAAATGTATGTACCTAATAAAATTACTATAAGTATATACCTAATATATTCATTTAAATCAACTGTTGCACGTCCAATTTCAACAAAACTTCGACTTCTCGGTAAGCGCTTATCATTTGAATATATGAATGCATTATGAGATAGCTCGTGCTTATATAAATTAAGCTCACGACATGCTTCTTGAAAATTAAGTGTTACGCGATTTAATTGCTCGACGATAGTATCGTATTCATCATGTAATCGGTTCAATGCACTTTTCAATTCATTAACATCGTCCGTAAAATCTGACGTTAAAGAATTTCGTTTTGTTAACTGAAAAGCAATAATTCTTTAAAAAAAAAAAATTTATTCTTTTGTTACAAATAATTTTTATAAGTTTTTTCTTTCTCTCGCAAAAGTAGTCTTTAAGGATTTTTTTAAAAAATATTTTGCAAATGAACCTAATATTGTAACCGTTTTTTTTTTGCAAAAAAAAAAATTTTTTAATTAAATTTTGAATAGCTCTAATAACTATTCAAACGAAATTTAGAACTAAAATTTAATCTTTTAACAAATTAATTATATAAGCAAAACATGTAATTGAGGAAAAAAAAGAAGGAAAACTTATTTTTATACAAAACTTTTTATTCAAGAAAAAAAAGCTGCAAATTTTACGCTTAGCGAAGTAGATTTATTCAAACAATTGTTATTTTTGATTTCATTCAGAATTCCTAATTTATCAATTTGTATGATGACATTTTCAAGATCTTCTTGTACCTAAAAATTATATATTTAAAAAACTTTAATAGAGTATAAAAAATTTAAAACAAAGAAACTTAGTATTTAATTTACTTTTATATATGAGCAATTAACTTTTTTAAAAAAAAATTGAAATAAAAGAAACAAATGTAATGCATTTGTTTCTTTTATTTCAAAAATGTTGAGAAAATTTAAAATTAAGAGGAAAAAAAGGAATGAATTGATGAAATAATTAATGTAAGTGATTAGGGATAAATTATTTTCCTAATTTTTTTTTTTTATATATAGAAATAATTAATATAAATGAATAACTATTTACTTGCATCAGATCAGTAGCTAAATCAAAAGTAGGTAAATTTTCATTGACAGCTGGTAATGATGATTTATTAGATGAATTGTTTTTGTTATTGCTGAAAATACATAATTTACTATATTAAGGTAATTTCAATGAAATTCCTCAAGTTAATTAACTTAATATATCTAAATAATTTAATACAAAGTCTTGTGCTAATTAGTTCGACACACCTTGATGATTCAGTAATATATTTTAAGTTAATTAGTTCTTCATTGAGGCGAGTGTTGTTTCGCGTGAGAATGCAATTTCTTTCACGTAACGTTGCTATCTCGCTAGAAGTTGTAGACGCTCCTATAGCTGACAACCTGACTAAATGTGGTACTGACATCCATCTGAAAATTTTTAAATGTTATGCATGAAATATGAAAAAAAAAAAAAAAAAATGGGTAATTAGTATTTGTGCAAAACTCATTAAAATGCAAAGAATAAAGCTAATATAAAAATCAGATGCATGAAGCATATAAAAATCAAAGAAAAAAATTTTTTTGATGATCAAAAAGAAAAACAATTGTTAAAGATTAGGAAAATAAAAAAGTTTTTCATATAAAAATAAGAAAAAAATGAGGTTTTTTTCAAAAAATGAAAAAATCCATTATCACAGCATTATAATTTATTAGTAAAAAATAAACAAATATTTAAACTAATTAATTTATAAATCATTTATTGAAATATTGATAATCTAATTAATGCGCTGAAATAAATATTTACAGTTTTAGTAGAAATGGGAAAGAATTACGCTTATCTCAGTACTTTTATTAATTCCCTTTAGTTTTTATTTTTCATTCTAAATCTTACTTGCATTTTCCGTAGTTTTACTGAAGTTTTTTTTTTCAACTTAGCTTTTTTAACACTTGAATATATATATATATTAAATATGTTTAAAATATACTTCACTTTTTTTTTTTATTTCAAATATGTCAAAGTGAAATGCTAAATGCAATTTATATTATGATATTATAAAGAAAAAAAGAAAAAATTGTGATAAACTTACATATTTGTTAGCAACTTTATTGATAGCTCATCATTTTAAATATTTAAAAAAAATTTTTTTGACCAGTTGTTTTCTTTCTTTCGTTTACTTTTTTTCACAATAGAAAATCTAATCATTTTATTAAACAAATATTTCTGGAATAGAAAAAAATAAAATAAAAATGCATTCAATTTAAATAATTAACCAACCTTTTGATATGAATTTTTTCATTGGTTGTAATTTTTCTATAATCATCAATAAATGTTGTAGAATTATATTGAGTATGAGCTGGTGAAAAGCTAGAAATATTTATCATAAACAATTAATTTAACATTATTTTTTCTTATTTTAATTTGTAATATTATTCATAAATTATAAATAAATATTGCATTGGATAAGTTTGCCCACTATAAAAATGCAAATTAGTGCGTTGTAAATAAATAATCATTTAAAATTACCTATTTTGTAATATAGCCTGTACAAATGTATCACTGTTGCATTTTTCTTCCAAAACTTTTTTATTTTTTAAAAGTCTCAATAATTTACTACGTTCCACTTCAACTTTTTCTAAAATTGCAATATGTTCTTCTAATCGTTGTCGTTCATTCTCATAGTGTCCCAATTCCTGTAAATCGAAAAAGAATGAAGAAAGAAAGAAAAGAAAGAAATCTGTGAATTTCAAAAAGGATTTATAAGATTTCAAAAAAAAAAAAAAAGCAAAACAATTTGACAAGTTTTACTTATTTATTTGTGTTTTTTTTTTTTTTTTTTTTTTTTTTTTATATATATATTAATACAAACAGCAAATAGCATGATTAAATCAAATGAATAATAAGTCACTTGTTTTTAATTTTATATTAATACAAATATGAAATAGTATAATAAAATTCAATTAATACACATATAAAATAGAACAAATTTTTTTTAAATTTAAAAATTTATAACTTACCAGATCTAATTCATTGTGAATATCATTTTCTAAAATATGATGCGACATTTGCTGATGTTGTTTCTGTTGTTGTTGACTATCTAATAAATTTTCTTTTTCTGTTTCAATTCCAACCAGTTGCATTGCTAAATGATAATTCTGTTTTTTAATTTTTTCAATTTGTCCGCGCAAATTTTTAAGCATCAAATTGCACTCTTCACTGCCATTTGTTTTCACTGAAGCGCATAATTTTGTCGTATCTGTTGATGAAACATTTACTGAACTATTGCTATTATCCATTGAATAATCATTTACCTAAACAAAGTAATATATTTGAATATTTTTTAAATTCATTCTTTTCTAAAAATTAAACAGACCATAATTATATGACAAAAATTTTATCACATGTTAAAAATAATTCATTAATAACAATCTTATGGAAAGTTTATATATCAATAATAACTATAGTATTTTTTTAAAAATAAAACCAATAGAATAATATATAATATCTTAGTATTTAATTTATAATATATAATATAGCATAGTTAACAAACAATCGTATTTTTTTTTTTTGAAATCATAAAAAAAATTTGTAATTTTTTCTTTCTTTTTTTTGGAAAGCAAAATTATAGAATTGCTATCTAAATCAACAGTTAAAATGAATTAAAGGCTGCTAAAATTTTAATTTTACAACAATCCTTAAAAAAATAAAGGATAAAATGATAAACCTGAATTTGTATACTATCGTATAGTTTTTGTTGTAACATTGCAACCTGTTGACGAGTGATAATTAATTCATTTTGACAGATTTTAAGTCTTTCTTCTACCTCATCAAATAGATCACCTTTTTCAATATCAGTCATTTTATGTCGTGCATTTGGCCGACATGCGACATATTTGCTAACAACACGTGGATGTACATCCACTTGAACATCACGTGTACTACGATTTAACTGAAAAAATTTTTGAAATATTTCTCATATTAGAATTATGTTTTAAAAAAAAAAAAAATCCCAAATTACAATATTTATGTTAATAGAATCAATTTGAATTTTTAATATATTTAAAAAAAACTCATAAATCACAATATTTATATTAGTGGAATGGATTTGATATATTTAATCAATCATTTCACCTTATGCATATTTTTTCAATTACTTTACTTAAATATTTTGATTCACAGACATTCTAACACTATTTGAAAGATGATATTATGATGAGGAAAAAGTGATTGATTTTAATTTTTTTTTTTTTTTGTTTCTAAATAAATGAAAAGTAATGAAAAACAAATTTCAAAAGAACAAAAAAAAGAAAAATTCTCATCATTTATTTAAAATCAGTTTTTACAAAGAAAAAAAAAATGCAGGTTTTTTCTTTTTTCTTCTAACTTTTCTTTTTGAAAAATAAAATAAAAAATACTTACCTGTTTTTTAAGGTGTGTTACGTGACTGATACTTGATGTAAGCCTTTTTGATAAATCAGCCCGTTGTATTTGTGCACGTAATTTAAGCTCGTCAATTGAACGTTTCAATGCAATATTCTCATTCTTTAATGATAATAAATTTAATTTAATAAATTTTCATTCATTTTAAAACGATTTAAAAAAAAAAAGATAGGCAAGAAAAAAGTTTTTTTTTTTTTAGATAATACTAAAAAGTTAACATTATTTGCTTATAAATATTTAAATAAAGAAAAGAATGTAATATTTTCCAATAACTTAAAGAATAAAAAAGAAGAAAAACTCAAGTAATAAGTAAGTAATAAAATTGATTTAACAATCAATAAGTTAATAGTTGTTTAATAAATTAATAAAAATTATTAAATTAGTATCTTTGCAAATGATCAACTTACAAATGATAATTAAATATTTAATGATAAACAACTAAATCAATAAATGTGAATTTAATGATGACTTTTGATTAATTAACTCATATAATTGAATTAAATTGGCACTTCATGTTGAATGGAACTCCATTTTAATTTCAGTAAAAGAAAAAAGAGAAAAAGAAAAAATCTAAGTAGAAAATTAAAACGAAACATTGATTTAACAAATTTATTTTTACTCGAAGTAATTCATTGCTTGCATTTATAGCTGATACTTTTTCAGCCCAATAATTACTCTGTTTGTGATATTTCTTCAACGATTCGGCTAGTGCCACATCTAAGCCAGCTTCATATTCCTCTTTTGCATTTCGAAGTTGATATTCTAATAAACTACGCTCCTATAACAATAAAAAATTAACACTAAAAAATTATAGTTAAAACAATTAATTAGCATTATTTAATCACACAAAAAAAGTATCGACCTAATTAATTCATTATTACTCACAAATAATTACTAGTAAATAATTTTTATCAGCATTAATTAGCCGAAATTAATTTCACCATTTAAATAATAATAGAGAAAAAAACAAATGATTACATTTAATTATTACTTTAATTACACTCATTAAATTTATTTCACCCATTAATAACTTAACAAAATGATTACTTCACCTGTTGAAGTTTGTCAATTTCAAACTGTAATATTGGTACATTTTTAGCAATTTGTCCTAACTCATGTAATTTCTCCTGAAATATTTCACGTTCTTTTTGATGTAAATCAGTTGAACGGGTTGCTTCGCGATCTGCTTCCTCTAATTGATTTGCTAACGAATTAACCAATGAACTTTTGATAAGTAATGCTTTTTCAATTTCTTGAAAACGCTCCAACATATCACTTTCTTTCGATGAAAATTCTTTCTTCAATACCTAAATTTAATATCCGAATTTATATTTAAACTATATTTAAATTTGATTCAATTATTCATTAAGCGTTCTATATTAAGAAAGAAAAAAGAAAGATGAATGTAAAATATAACTAATCAGAAATGAAACAATTCAATTATAATTAATTATAATATATTTAATTTAATTTTAAAAATACACTTAATTTATGATTATGCGTGCACGTTACTTCCTACCATATATTCATTTGCAATATTTAATTGTGTGCTTAATTCAGTTGTTCATCAATATTCTTTCGAATATTAAAATTATTAAATAAATTTTAATTTATTACCTCCAATTTATCCGTAAGGCTGACAAAGTTAACTTCATTTGTACGTAATGTTTCTTGCGTAAGATCAGTTTGCACACGTTTTGAAACATTAACAATAAAACGCGGATCAGAAAAACCACGTTTCCAATTATCAGTTGATTCATCTTTTATCACTAAATGATTATCCAAAATTGTATTACGATAAATTTGATGACGCTCTTCCAAATAACAAATAGCTTTTGTCTTCATTGCTATTTCACTCTGTAAAAAAAGAAAAACCAAATATTTTTATCATAATACGAATAATTAAATTTATAACAAAAAATAATTTTAAAAAAAAAGCAAAATTATTTCAAATAATTTTAAGGCAAAAAAATTTCAATCAAATTTGATTTAACTACATAATTTAAACCTGTAAACGTATAGCTGTAATATTAGCAGCTTCAATTTCAGCGCTTTTTTCCTCGATTTCTTTTGACATTTGCTCAATTATAAGAAAATTTTTTCTATTTTCTTCCTCCATTGAATGAATGGTACTATGTAACATACTAATATCTTCGTCACATTCATTTAGTCGTAATTTGTCTTCTTCAACCTAAAAAATTGTTTAAATATTTTAATTATTAGAAATAAAATTACTTCGTACTAAAATAAAATAAACTACTTAAAAACTACTTCAAATATTTTATTAAAAATAAATTACTTTCAAGAAATATTATAAAGTTTTTGCGTCTTTAAGATTATAATAAGAATTTAATTGTAATACTAAATTTTTTGAAAAAATCTTTTTTGTTAAAAAAAAAGAGAAGAGATAAAAAAAGAAGTGGAAAACAATGAGAACTTTTTTATTTAGTCGTTGATTTTCATCCATTAATTGTTTTCTACGTTCTTCGCAATATTGTGAATAACAATCGGTAATGTTTGTTGTTAAAATGGGATTTAAATTTAATTCAAAATCTGAATCAATCATTGTATTATTTGTTATATTTGCTTCCATATTCCTGTATAAAAAAAGAAAAAAATCTTAGTAGAATTTAAAAAGTTGAAAATTTTAAAGACTTAAGTATATCAATTAGTGAATGATATGAATTTAGTAATTTAGTGTAATTTATTTTTTAATAATTTCATTTGTAGTGTTATTAAAGGTAACGTTTAAAAATTTATTCTAATTTAAGCAGAAATTTTAAATGATACATTAGCTTTTGATCAAAATTAATTCAATTGATTAAAAATTTAATGCATACTTAATGTACATGCGCAGATGTTCATTTTCATTTCGACATTTCTCCAATTCAGGTGTTATACCTTGTTTTGTTTTAAATATTTGATCTTTAAGTACCATTTCCAGTTGTGCAGCTTTCATTCGCCATGCCATCGCTTCATTTTCATAAGCCTAAATTTTCTATCATCCATTTATTATAAAATTTATTAAAATGCATTTTTCTGTTTTTATTTTGATTATTTTGGAAATAAAAAACACTTTATATTTGCATTTAAAAATTATTAATCTTCTTTTTTTTTCAAATTTAAGAAATTAGCAAAAATTGAGACGGAAAAAAAATTTTTTTTTTCATTGTAAAATAATATTAGCAGGAAGGAAAAGAAAAAATGTTTAATTTTGAACATTTTTTCTTTCCTTATTTTAATATTTCAACCTGTAACTGAAGCGGTAAATCTTGTGAAACTTGTATAGCTCGGTGTTCAACAGTACGTTCCACCTAAAAATTTCTCGTTTCACTTTCTTTTACGTTTTTTCCTTCATTTTTTTGCTCGCATGAACTTTAAATTTTTCAAATAATTTTCATTAATTAAAAAAATCATTAATATTTTTGTTTTTCGTTTAAGAAACAAAGAAACACTTGAGGTGAAGGCCTAAAAATTTTTCGTTCCTAATATAAATTTTGAATTTTAAATTTATAAATCAAATCACTCAAATAATGTTCACCAATTCACCAATCAAAAAATTATTGATTTTTTGTTTTTTTCTTTTTTTTAAAAAGAAAAGTAAAGAAACACCTGGGGTGAAGATGGAAATGAGGATAAAATTTGTGATAGCTTTGAACAATGCAATATGTCATCAGTTGTTTCTGTCATAACTTCTGCATCTTTAGCTTCAATTTTAGCTTTTACTTCTTCCTGTTGCTTCAATGCCATTTGCAATTTCATCATTTCAGCTCGTGCATCAACTGCTTCCTGAATTAATTGTCGCACACGAATCTAAAACTAATTTATCAGCTTTCATGTATATTTAAAATAGCACAGAAGGACTGAATATCGTTAATAAATAAATATTTCTTATTTCAATTAAAAAACAATTCAAATAGGATTAATTATTTTCCATTTTATTTTTTAATTTAAATCTTAGTTTAATAATTTACCTCATGTTTATCAATAAGTTTTTGCTTTTCACGTTCATAATCTTCATTGGATTCTTTATGTTGAAGTAAAAGTTGATGTTGTCGGTCTATATTATTCATAGAATTTACAACTGATTCCAAATCACGTAGCTGATCACGTAACTCATTTAAATGCAAATCTTTATCTTCCAATTGAGCTAATGTTAATCTGAAATTTGTAATAAATTATTTGATAAATTTTAAAAAACAATTTAAAAAAGAAAACATCTAATTTGATAACAAAAAGGAAGAAAATTCAATGATATCATTTTTATTAAATTTATCGGTTGCTGGTGATTCTCCATAAATGATGCACACAAAAAAATACAATGATTTTATCACTTCTGAATATATTTTTTTGCAAGTAATGTTAAAAATTTTGTTAAACCGAAAAAAGAAACATTGTTAATTTAATATTTTTCATTAATATTATCAAAAAATATATTATCAATTTAACATTAAAAAAATGCAAACTTTAATTGTTTCCTCAAGTGATGAATTTCTTTGAGTCTTTGTTGTGTTGGTGTTAAATATTTCCCATCATTATCAGTAAATTCCTTATCACGATGATTATGAGTACAACCCCACTTAGCACAATGTGGAATGTTCCTTAAAAAAAAAACGAAGAAAAAAAAAATAAAATGAAATAAACGATTATAAAAAAATATGCTTAATACTCAATGATATTCTTATAAATAAGAAATTTAACATTATTTTACAGAAACTCCTCAATTATTACGATATAAATAATATTAATTTAAATAATTTTAATACCTAAATAACACCATATTTGTTACTCTCAACAAATCAATATATATAGTTTTTAAAAGCTAAAAATAATATTTAAAGCTAATGAAAAAGGTATATTGTTGAATATTATATTAAAAATTTTTTAAAATGATAATAATTAAAGAAACATAATTTTTTTTTTCTTTTACATTCAATATAGCATAAAAAGAATTAAAAAATTAAGGTTGAAAAAAATGAAATAATAAGTACTACTTGATACTTTTGCCAAACCACCATTTACCAGCAATATGTGAATTGCCAATAACTGTAACATTATCATGTTGTTGATTATCACCATTAATTTTGCTATGTTCATCATTATCATTATTATCATGTGCAACTTCATCGTTATCATTTGTTATCGTCATATCTTCATCCTCATTCTCATCATCATCATACAATATTGCTGTTTGTCGCTCTGAGCTTACATTCGCTTCTTTTGTATTCATATTAAAAGGAATCTTTGTTGCAATTTTTGTTAAATATTCTGAAAAAAAAAAAAGTTATTATTATCATTTTTTTTTCGACCATCAAATGTAGTATAAAAAACTATAAACAATTCAATTTAACCACAACAATATGCTATATTTTGATAAAAAGAAAAAAGAAAAAATATGTAACAAAAATTTTATTGAAATAATCAATACACATATACACATAGTTATGAAAATTTTTTTTAATTTTTATTTAACACATAGAAAATTTTTAATTCATTTAATTGTTAGTATAATAATATTTATAAGATATTAATAATGAATATTTTATACCATTTAATCTAATATTTCGTCGTGTTGGCGATGATAAATGCTGAACAGTTGAAATTGGTGCAATTATGGGCACTTGAATATCATCTGTTTCAGTTGTTGCTTCATCAGATGTTGTATCACCATAAATAGTTACTATAATGAATTTATAATTCATTTCTATAAAATTTATTACAAAAAAAAGGATAGAAAATAACATGACTTGATTGTATTACTTTTTGATTTCGAGTTAATTATATCACTCATTAACATTTTATATATTCAGTTTGTTGTTGTTTTTCTTTTTTTTTTTCTTTTTTTTTTTTTTTTTTTTTGCTTAAAGCATATGATAATTGGATAAATCATAATATAATAATTAAATTATATCATAGCTCTGGAATAATTAATAAATTGAATAAGTCAATTTCAGTTTTACCGCAACAAATTTCTTATAAATTACGAGAACACTTGAAATGAGCAAATTTTTAAAATTTGATATATTCCAGAAGTGTTGTCGGAAAAACCGAATTTGCAATGACGATATTAAAATCAAAATTATATTACAAATAAAATTACATTAATCCATAAAACTAAAGATTGTTTTGTTATGCCTTAAATATATCATATAACAAATCATTTATTTAAAATTCATCTTCCATTCCAGCTGAACTTATTGCGGATATTGATTCTTACTTCAATAATTAATCGTCAATAGTTGTTTTAGTCTTTTTTAAGTTAATTGATGTTAATTCAGTAATCATTAATTGATTCATTGTTAAACGGCTCATTTCGTGAATTTTCAAATGTCAAATATGGCTCTTCAACATTAACAGTTCCAGTTTGTTGATCAATTAATCTCATTCATTAATCAACAAAAAACACATATGTTAGAATTTGACTCCGGTTAAATTGTTTACAACCATTATTTAGTTGTTTATTTAATTGTTATTCGTCTTATTTAGTTGTTGTTTACGACTCCTTACTACATGTAAATTATTATCTATAGAATTTGACAAGATTAACAGCACTTCATTTAGGTGATCTGTTTTATGGCTTGTCACCTTATCATTTCAGATTTGATTATTTAGTTTTTTTAAATTACTATTGTCAAATTCTTGTTGACAAAGGTTATAGAACTTTGTTTACCTGAACTTTCTCTACGGTATTGTAAATAATGTGTCTTGTTGTGAGTTAATACTTACTATATATGAAATTTTACCCCTTTTCTGGGTTGGATTTTCTGGACAGCAATCCGATATTCATTGCCCTCCTACAATTATCTTAAGCTTTCTAGTGCTGAATCAATAATTACGATTCAACGGATAATCTTTATCTCAACAAAACTAAAGATTAATCAAATGTCACCTTCTCTACAAAGCAACGACCACTCGACTCGAATCATATTCTATTTCACGATAGGAAAAGGAAATAGTAGCCTCAAAATTTTAACTTTTTTCTTCCTTTTCTTTTCGATACTTATTTGATTTCATGATACTCCAAAATTTCTGAATATTAATTATTCATTTGAATGAATGATTAAAAACTCAATTTTTGGTTATACCTGCGTTCTTCTCAGACCAGGTGAGAGTTAATTTTGGAATTTTCGTAGTTGGTCGATCAGTAGCACGTGCGGAAGATTGTTTAAGTTCGAAAAAATGTCCGTTTACATTTTGCTGTACAGTAGTATCCTTACGAGGAAAATTATTCTGTGATGAGGATCGTTTTAAAATGCCCTAAAATGATTAAAAAAAAAAAAAAAAAAATTGTACATTTTTATTTTGTCAATCATATGAAAATTTAATATCTATTATATTTATTTAAAAGTTAAATTTTAACTTTTTTTTCCTTTCAATCAATCTAATCGTAAAAATTATAAAAATCTGAAATTGGGACCGTTTTTAAAACTAATGAAAAATTAAAATGCAAATATTTTAAGGATGCTGTAGAATTTCAAAGTTTAAATTTTAAAAAAAGAAAAAAATTGATATTGGTAATTGAAATGTTGAAGTCCCTATTCTATTCCTTTCAACGTCTATAACAATTGAAATATAACTTTTTTTTTAAGAAGTTAAAAAATCTGAAAGTGTATTTGAACTCTATGCCACCAAAAACCTTTTTAGGCATCAGTTGCGTGGAGGTAGATGCGACATCAGGGTCAACGATAACTGCTTCCTCGCGTGCTGTAGTTGGTGTCACATCATCAGAAATTGTTGTTGATAGATTCATGTGTTGAGCTTAAGCTGTTAAAAAGAAAATTAAAGAAGTTTACACTTAGTTTTTTCACAAATTTGAAGTAAAGCATGTGATAAGCTAAAAGTCAGTTTAAAAACTCAATTTAATGTGACAGTGCTAATTTAATTCAACTATTGTAATCTTTAGAAATACATGAGCAAACTGTTTTTTCATTAAGCCTATTTTTTCAAAAAATTAAGAATATTAATGATTAGAAGAAATATATAGAAAATAAAAATCAAATAGAAAAAGAAACAAACATCACTAAATTTATGTATGACAAAAAAAAAAAAAAGAACGTTTCTGAGAAAGTTAATCATCAAAGCAAAACATAAAATAAGCAAAGTAACTTGAATTTGAATTCTGGTATAGCTAAAATTGATTTCAAATTGAAATTTAAATAGAAAATATTTATTAAAAGAGCATTTTAGGTGGGCTAGAATACATGAAAAAATTAAAAATGAAAGTTTAGATTAGCGGAAGTATTCCTCTTATTGCATCCATTCTTCCACTGAAATATTCCGAAGGAATACTAGAGAAACTAACTTAAAGTTTCACTGTTTCAATTTCAATATTTTTAAAAACAAAGACAAGCAAACAAATATTTCCTAGCTTGTTGCAAAAAGGTGAATAACATAATCAAAAAATGGTGCTATAAAGAAAGTGCAATTTTTTTTTGCATTTTTCTGATTTAAATAAAATAAGAATATAATAACCTAATTAATTTAATTCAATTATGTGTGTACATTTAAAAAATTATTCATATTGCTAGTTAAATGAACAATTTATCTTTCATTTTTTTTAAAAAAAAAAGTGAAAAAAAAATTTTCAAAAGGATTTCAAAATTCAACAACAACTAGGATATATGCAATGTTCTCGACGATTCTAATATACAAAAATTTTGGTTTTAATTTTTGTTTTTTATTTACGCAAATAAAAATATATATTAAAAATAAAAGATTAAAATCGATCGTTTATAAACATAATTATTGATAGCTATTTACAAAGTTATAGTAGTTAAAAATAAGAGAGATAATATTTTCTCTGCGAGATATTATCATTGTTATTATCATTGAATTGTAAGCCACAAGTGTTAAAGAAATGAAAACAGAAAATGAAAACACTATGATTAGCTTCTTCGTTTTCTTTTTCTTTCTTTCTCTTTCTTCATCCTTTTTCTTTTTCTTTTCATTGCATATTTATTATAGCTTATAAAATGACTCGTTAAAAATGTTGTTTGTATGATCTTTTTTTTATGTAATTAGTTATAATAGTTTAATAATATTCATCTAATTAAAATTCAAATTGAAAAAATAACAATACAAAATTTATTTAAAATGTTGATTGCAAATATTCATATGACAATTATATTTTGATTTTTCTTTCGTAGTTTTTTGTTCTATTTCAAAAAAAAAATTGCAATATGATTGTAAATGATAATTAGGGTAGATAATTAAATAAACTGAATAATAGCATGGATTCGATCAAGTGATCTTTCAAATGGATGATTGATTGCTATCGCTAATGATTGCATAAAAAGGTTTCACAAAAAAAAAAAGGTTGCATAAAAATATATAATTACTTCATAACTGCTCTCATATTTCATAGTGATTCTTAAGTTTTTAACTAGAAGGAATAAGCTATATATTGGAGTAATTGAATGTTGTTTTCACAGTGGCATACTATTGATATGGCAATTTTCATTAAAAAACAATATCGACAAACTTTGTGGATTTACGTTTACTTCCATTTGTTATATTTAATTATCATTATTTTCATTCATTGAACTTTAGTATTTCACAGCATAATGTTAAGTAAATTAGAATAGTTATTTTAATGAAGTAACTTAAGATTTTGCTAATCCCAGCAATTACTGAACAAGGGAGAGAAGATTGAAGTGATAAATGACAAACCTTTTTTGAGTACTATTTCGAAATGGCCTCATAAAGTTTCAATAAAGCAGAAATGATATAACAACACGGGATAATATTTAGGAAGCTTAAAATGTTTTCTAAAAGAAAAAAAAAGTCTTAAAAAAAAAAAAACCGAAAGGAAATCCTAACATTTGGGAGATCATATCGTCAGGAAAGAAGCACCAAAAAAAAAAAAAAAGAAAAAAAATTCATTAGCTTTTCATCAATAGCTTTTTTCCTTTTCTTTCTTTTTTTTCTTTCATTTAAAAAATTCTACATAAAAGACAAAATGTTTCAATAATTTTATTTCAATTATAATAGATTAAATAAATCAAGAAAGAATGAACATTATAAAATGATAAACAAACAAGGTTTATTATGCGCTAGCAATTAAAGATGTGGAATATTAATAAATCAATACAATTTTTGCAAATTTTAATTAAAGATATAAAATAAACAAGATATAAGTTTAATTTAAGAAACATTTGAGAGTAAAACAACAATTTTTGAGTGCTAAACTTGATGCTAATCTTTCACTCGTATTCAGAGAGACAGAGAGAGAGAGAGAGGAAGAGGGAGAGATGGAAGTCATTTGGTGAATGTAAAGAGAACACACCCATTCTTCTCTTTGCGTTATACTTAATGTATCCGTAAAGCTGCTTACTGCTAATATTGATAGTTTAGTTTATTATCTCAAACAAACAGTAAATTTTTAAGCTTCATTGTTCATTTATCAATAATGTGCTTATGTTATTCAAGAAAAAAAAAAAAAAAAAAAAACTGAGGATGTATTTTTTCTTCGTCTTTTTTTCAGGTTTTTTTGATTTCGCAAAAATAAACATCAATAACATAAAGAAGATTAATCATTCTAATAAATTCTTTGTATGTAAAGATATGTTGTATAATGTCAATATATTCTGGCAAGAAAAAAAAGAAGGAAAGATTTCTTGCAAATAAATGAATCAAGTATGATGCGATATTGCTAATACATGTTATTTCTGTAAAAAATTCTGATATAAGATAAAACATGAACAAATCAAACAACAGAAATGCAACATAAATCTGTTAATTTACTATTTTTTTGATACTATAAAAACTAAAACATGAACGAGTCAAATAAGAGAAACGCAATGTACATTCTACTAATTTTTCCCTTTCTTTGATTCGATAAAACTTCTGAATTGCTGCAACACAATTTCTTCTTTTTTCTTTCGTTCATCATGAGTAAAACCACTCAAAAGACGTTTCTCTTCAGCTGTCATAACCTGAAAACAATTTTTGCAAAATATGCTTTATATTTCAATATAAAAGATATTTATTTTAGAAAAAACCATAAAACAAACAGTCCGAATACCTTCACCAGTTTAAGTTACACTATAACAATTAATACTAAGTTAACCTGATTTTCTTTTCTCAAACGAGTTGCTTCCATACTTTTATGCCTTGTACCGCTCATCACATAACCTATTTTTTCATATTCTGAAATTTCTGCTGATGAAAGACCTATTTCACCACGTCGAGGTATTCGTTTTCCTTGTGCAATATAAGAAGCCATCGCTGCTGCTTCTCCCCGTAACATATCCTTCCCATAGCTGAAAAATTTCATAGCTAAATTTATCTCCGATACCTTGCATATTTATAACAAACTAATAATTTTCATTTTGTTATTAAAATGATTTTATTTTGGACATTTATAATATTACTGATTTCATTAGTTGGCCAAATTATGCAAAAGACAAACTTACCTAGAATTACCAGAGATTTCAATCAAAAAAAAAAAAAAAAAAAAAAAAAAGAAAAAAGAAAAAAAAAGGAGCCCTTACTTCACTCTTTTTGTAGTATCGATTAAAGCAGCATGTTTCTGTTGAAGATGATCTGGTATTGCGGGTCCTATCATTGCAGCTTCTTCTAATTTCTCTCGGGCTGCTTCAGCTTCTCTCATTTCAGCTGTCACTTCTACCCATTCTTCTTCACTCTCATTCGATGATTTTTTATGCTAGAATACCAAAACTTCGTCAAAAATTGTACACATCCATTTTTTTTCTTTTTGATTTGCATTTAGAATCTAATAACTATTAATATACTGACAATATCTAAAAAATCAGTGACAGATATGAATCTTTCTTTCAAAATATGACAATAAACAAAATAATTTAAAGATTGCAAGAAAGAGAACAAGTCAAGCATTATACCATCACGAGTTTGATAAAATATATACGATATGTACATCAAAAGTAAAATAAAATTTAATAAATAAAGAAATAAGCATCCAATAAGAAACTTTTTTCTTGTGCTTCTTTTTCTTTCCTTTCTCTTTTCTCGATTTTTTTGCTATTTCAGCAGCCTTAATATTCAAAGGTTGTGGTAGCTGTTCCTCCTCCTTTCGAAGCTCTTCCTCCACTCTTTCATACCTAAAGCAATCAATTTGGAAACTTTTATAGCTTCAATAATATTCCACAACTACATCTTTTCCCGCTTTTGTTTAACTAAATAATATGCAAATCATTAATATACAAACTTAATGAGTACTAAAGTTTTATATCATAAATTAAACCTAAAGCTTATAGCTTTGATATGATAAAAAATATACTTACTCCTCATATACTTGGTGTATTTCATGCATAAGAGGAGAACGTCCCCAAACACTGCGTACGCCCCATTCACAACGTCGTTCACGCTCCTTGCGACGTCTAAGACACAGAATGTTTTAAGAAGTCAATAATGTGTTTTATTTTTACACTAGCAGTTTAATAACGATGACAATAAGTCCTTGATGAGTAATCGCAAATTTCAGTACCAAGTTTTAGAATACTAAATTCCACTTCGTATTTTAAAATGTAAACTTCACTTTCTATTTTAAGATAGTTAAAAACTGTTTTTCTGTTCAAAATAACATTCAGTCGCTATTACAAGACAGGGCAAATTCGTTAAAATCAAATCAGACTAGATCTCCTTTTCACCAATAAAAAACAAATCAATTAATTAAGTGAAGAGTAAAAGATCATTACCTCTAATATCAACTTAAACACAAGTTTATCAGAATCGAAAGACCAAATAATCTTTTAAATTAAAAAAGACATAGATTAACATCTACGAGAACGAAATTATGAAAACGATAAGGAGAAAAAATCTACTCTGTCCAGATAGCATCTTCTCGTGCATTCTTTTTTCGTGCATCCAACTCTTGATGATCACTGCTTTCGTCACCGCTGAATTCTTTTTTGATATCTCCACGTTCTGTGAAGGCTGGCGAATGTGATGACCTAAAGAATAAAAATATGAAGATGATTTTAAATCACTAACCAAATTTTACTAGAATAATATCAGGAATATATAATTAAAAAGCAGAGACAACAATTACTAAGTGAATAATAAAGGAAATACAACGAAAGAAAAAAAAAAACTAAAATACCTTGGCATTTTCCAAGATTTAGATACATAACACCGTTCATGAGACCATGAACGACTGCTTCTTCTCTTATAATCTTCTCTAGAACGACTTCGTCTCCTATATTCTTCACCACGTTTTGCAGTTCGTCTTTGATTTCCATCTTGAACTTTCGGCGATCGTGAACGATGTGACTGATAAAATCGATGGCCACGATTAGATGACGAATCTTGTCTAAAAAAAAAAAAAAAAAAAAAAAGCTGCAAATATTTTAAGCATAGAAAAATGTGTACGCGAAGAGTCGATGCAGAAAACAGTTTGATGAAATAACTGAGATACTAGTCTATAAGTTAAAATTTAGCATGAATGGATAAACCAAGGATAAATCTTCATTTTTTTTTTCTTCACCTTAAAAGGTAGAACATTTGATAGAGAAGCTATGAGTGAAAACGAAGTCTAAAAATGTAGCAAAAAGAGATAAATCTAAAAATGTAGCAAAAATGATTTACAGAAACTATTTAAGGAAATATACTAACCTTCTGAAATACTCGTCATTTTTCCGACTGAATTTTACGGGTAAGCTGTCATCATCGGAATGCTCGAACTCTCTTCGCTTTTGTTCTTTTCCTCTCTTCCCATTTTGACTTCTCCTGTCTCTTGAATGTACCTCGACTAATGACGTTGTTGAATGTCGATCACTGTCATCATCACTTTCGCTATATTCTGCTGAACTACTTGCTGAAAAATCAGGACTTTCCTTTAAACCATTCGTCCGAGATTTCATAACTTGTACTTTGATCTGAAAACTATAAACGAGCTTAAACAGGCATAAGTTAAACTTTTTTAACGTACGAATCAAAAAAAAAAAAAAAAAAAAGAGTTGAATTCATTTCCCTCGCCACAAACCAAAGGTTTACTAAAACAAATTTATAACTGAGTAATGCCTATATCACTAATTATATAGAATGAAAAATGAAACAAAAAATATAAAACAATAGGAAGTGAAAAGTGGAAAATAAAACTTAAAGCTCTAAAACTGGATAACATTTTGTGTGTACTTCATTATTCCCTACACTACCATTATTAACATTTATTCCCATTTTTGATTTTCATATTTTTTTTTTCAAAAATTTCTATCATCTCTAGCCAAGCTTAAAATATTTCCGTCACTTCTAGCTAAGCACAAAATATTTCTAACACTTCTAGTCAAACATCTTTCACAAATTTCATTTTGCATCAACATTTTAATTCTGTTATTTAACTAACCGCATCTTAGGAAATTCTACTTTTAATTTCTAAATAAAAAAATTATCACCAATCAATCATCAATTACTGAAATAATGAAGTGATGTATGAACGAATTTTACATTTAAGTGATACAATTATCATTTATGAAGATTTTTATCGGAAAATATTCGAGAAATATTACTGACTTAAGATGCGAGATGATTAGAGCATTTTGGATGTTATTTTATTTTCTAATGATATGCTTTTCTAACAGTTTTTTCAATCATTGTTAAATTATGCAATGTAAATTATGAATTTATCTCAGTTCATCATTTCAAATGTCTAACTTTAAATGGACAATAGGAAAAAAAAGTAAAAGTTAAGAGCAGAAGTGAAAGTGAAAGAAGGGAATGCAGAAAATTTGAAAGATAAAATAAAAAATGCGTAACCCTGAAACGAATCATGGAAACACCACACCAATTTGCATGCGACACTCACCCAAACTTTCGATATATTTCATTTTTTCTCCTCCTCCTTGTTCTTTTTCTTCTTTTTCCTCTCCTTCTTCTCTCATTCCTTATCTTCTTTCTCTTTCTCCTTCTCATCCTAATGCATTGTGCTATTTCATTATTTTTCAAGAAATTTTGTTGCTTTATGAGTATTTTTAAGAAAATACAAGAAAAAAAGCTTTTGTATAACTTTCTTTAATCATTTCATAGCCTTATAATATGGATGTATGGAAGATAATTTATTTCAGAGAAAAAAGTAATTATTATTATTGATAGGGATTAATAGTGATAACTGTTGATAATTACTGACAATTCATGATTATTAATGATTACTGGCAACATTGATGATTATTTGATTATTATTGATAATCCTCACTAATAATAATTATTTAGGAGTACTGATTTTTTTGCACAGCAGTCGAAAAACCTCAATTTAAAAGCTAAATTACATTTCTTAACAATTAAATTAATCTTTAAAGAACTTTTAATAAATGATTTAAAAGAAAAAGAAAAGTTTTGTCAGCGATTTCAAAGTTAGCTTCGTACTATAACTGTATCTTATGTTTTCATGTTTCTGAAATCTAATTTTTCCAAAGAAAAGTAACAACAGAAAGTTTTTTACCATTCTTAAAATTATCCAATTCTAAACATTTTATTGTGCAATTTTTTCATCCTTTGGATTATAAAACTTGAAATGCTACTTTAAGTAACTTCAGAATTGTTACAATGATTTTTGTGATTATCTCTCATCAATTAAAATGCTAATTGTTTGGAAAATCGTGTATATTTGTGAAAAAAAATTCACCATGTAAAAAAAGTTCTATTCTCCTATTTTAACAGCTTGAAATGTTCCTTATAGTTTCTGGATTGCAACTGTAAGGTTTTGCAGAATTTTTTATTAAACTTTCATGGTGTTATATCTTTTCATAATTGCAGTTGGTTATAATATAACACATATGGAAAAGTGTAAACTTCCAGTAAAATAAGCGGAATTTCTCTAATTTTATTCTTTCAAATAGAAAAAATGAGTCATAGCAGATAAGTTAAACCTGATGAAGACTAGAAATATAATGGTATTTTAAAATGCACAAAAAAATAAGTTCTTATTTACGAGCAATTTTTTACAGAACTTTAATCGAAAACTAAAATTAAAACTAGCCGAAGAAAGAATGAATGAGTCATTTGAAAATATCTTACATTGCGAAATAATTTCAACTATTAGTATGATTTATTTAGTCTAACAATGGTTTGTGACAAAACTCTTTAATATTACTTTTCTCAACATTTTACAGTTCTAATCTTAGTAGTGATAAATTGCATATTAGTAAGAGTTATAAACGAAATGTTTAGGATATTATAAATTTGAATATGAAAGTTTAATGCTTTTTTCCAGACAATATATTTAGAAAAATTTATACATTTCATTGTAAATGCACTATTGTTTTTGCATGAAACAAGTCAAGAAAAAAAAAAGAGCTTAGATATACTTTAAAATATGCTTTAATATGACTTATTTGTCTTCGAAACTTTTTTTATTTGAATTTTAATTTTTTTATCTTTCCTTTATTTTTATTTTTTTTTTTTTTTAGACATTGAGAAAAAAAATTTTTTTTCTTTGTTTGGACTTTGAATTTTTATCATAGCTAACAAAATCAAAAATAAAATTATGATTTTGAAAAGAGCATTAGCTTCTATACGTCTTTAATCTATTGATAATGAAAATATTCCTACAGTATCTATACAGGATGAAAGTGATGAAAGGGATGAAAATGATGAATTTATTGCTTATATTATGATAAATATAAGCTAAGTTATTATAGTTAAATATAGCATTTTGTACGACTTCCTAAATACTAGAATTACTTCGAATACGTTGGAATTATTAATACTTAGAATTATAAATTTTTGGAATTTTTCAATATGGTTTGTTTTCAAATGACTTAAGAAATTAGATGTTAAAAGAGAAAAGAAAATCAAAATTTTTTTTCTTTTTAAATTTTAGTAATTTTCATAATTTGGAATTTCATCATTTACAATGAAACCTTCATTTGATGATGTTAAATTTGATTAAATATTGATTGATGAATTTTCGTTTGTATATATGTGTGGTAATACTTTTTTCAGAAGATGTTTAAATAAACATACAGCTAGTGATGTACTATTTGCTTAAAACAAACAAAAAAATAAACTCAAATATAATTCCAAAACAGAAATTCCTACAGTTCATTGGCTATATTACATTTTGCTCAATTGATGTTCTTCAGGAAAAAGAAGGTCTGTGAATTCATATTTGTAGAAATATTAGTAGAATTTATAATAGTTCTTTGAAACAATGTAATTTCGACCTGATTTTTTATTGATATAGTTTATGATATAATGAACAAAATTTAAATGTAAGTTTTTAACATGAATGGGGACGTAGAAATTATTAAACGTAGAATTTTTAACATAAAAGACATAGAAGTTAATTCTTCTTTGTATAAATAATTGAATATCTTAGAATAAAAAAAGAACATTCATTATTTTGTTTGGATTGGTAGTTTATTGAAATATTTTGCAAATTAAAACTTCTTTCATTACTGCTACATATTCCATTTTTTTTTCATCGTTAAATTTTAACTTTTGATAATAACTCTTTACGAATTAATAAGTTCTATGTATATATTAAAAATCATTACTTTTAAAGAAAGTAAATTTTCACCAATGATTATCCACCTATTATTCCAATTTAATGTATTAAAAAAAGTGAAAATTCAAAAACTGTGGATATTTAGTGTAAAAAAATGATTTTTTGGATATTTGTTCTTTTTTTTTAAAAAAAGAAAGGGACAGAAAATAAATGAACTTTTAAATAGTGCATTTTTCTTTCCTTCTTTTCAGCCTGAAGTATCAGTGGGACCAGTAAGTCCAGTTCGACCAATAACATCAATTGAATCATTCAGTCCAGTTTCTTCATCAAAAAATACTTCTTGGCGTCAACATATAAAAGAAGTAAACAATAACAACAATGAACATAGAAAACTATTTGATGGTTACCGTCCAGTAACACCGATACAGCCATTTGATATTTTACCTGTTTCAATTCCACGTATCGAAATTGATAAGGCTATCAACAATACTTTTCCATCACGACAAAATCATTGCAACGATACGTTTTACGGTTCATTTTTTTTTTTTTTTTTTTTATCAATTCTTTTTTTTCTTAAAAGCTTTTATCAATTTTCTTCGTTTAACGCTTTTCATCCACTTTTTTTTCCTTTTTTGTCTGAATCTTGAGCAAAAGATGTAATTTTATATTCAAATATTTTTTTGTTATAGTTTACTATAGCTTCTATAAATATATTTGATTTCTTTTTAATAATTTTTTTTTCTTAAGTAAAACTTTAGCAAATTTTAACTTTCCATTTATTTTATAAGTTTAAGATAAATTTAAATTATCGTTATTTATTTAGCATAAGAAGAAATATCGTTGTATGTAATTAGCATTCTGAAAATAACACTTAATTGTGGTACATTTTCTAAAAAATTTTTTTTAATACTCATTTATTTTCCATAATACTTTTTAAATTTTTTAAATAATACTTAGCCCTAATAACTATAACACTATTTCAGAGCATTCACCGCGATCTGATGATTCCCGTGTTTTATCTCAATCAAGTCATTCCGGTAGCGGTGGCATAGTACCATCAGTAAATTCTATTTCTGTGTCTAATTCGATAGGTCCACTCAAAAAAATTATCAAAGAAAGTCGTTGGATATCGGTGCATAATGGGCAACCGGTCAGTCCTTACGTTAGGACTATTACGTATGTTCCCAAATATTCCGAGGATGAATATATTCTGAATGCATGCAACGATAGGAATTATCATTGTAATAACAAATATAATTTACAAGAAAAGTAAGCTTTATGAATAATTTAAATACGTAAAGTAAATAATCCAATGGATACATCATTACTTTACTAATTATTGAAACTTTTTTGAAATTCTTCCTCACTGATTAAATTTGATTGAATTTTGTAAATTATCCTTTGAATAATTTCATATAAGTTAGCAATTGAAATAATAATTAAATAAATTTTATTTAATAAAAATTCATTTATTTCTAAAATTTTCTCATTTACTCTGACTTAAATTTATTTTAAGGCAAGTAACCTATGAAGATGAAAGATATTCATCAAAACATATCAGAACAACAAATTCATATGGTCGATGTTCTCTTTTTATTCATAATCCATTGTATAGTGATTGATCGTTTTATATCTATTTACATTTGCCCTTTGCACTTGAATGTTATTACCGAATAGTAATATATACCGAATAGTATATTAGCTTTAATTTAGAAAATTTTCTATCTTCTTTTTATAACAAAAATTTCAGACAATACTTTAATGATTGTTGCATTTGCTCTTTTTTTCTTTTTTTTTTTTTTTTTTTTTTTTTTTGTTTTTGTTTGATTTTTAAATCTTTTGCTTTTGATATTTTTATTTTTGTATTTATATTTTCGTACGAATAATTCAGGAAGAAAGTTTATACGCATTAATAAAAATTTTTCAATGGAACTTTTTTACAAATTTTTAATTAATAAATTTTTTGGTAATTTGCACATATTTTACTGTTTATTTAAATTTTTTCAGATATGAAAGAAATTTTTATACTTTTATATTAAATAACTGAAGTCATACTTCAACATAGCAAAAAATTTTGAAATCATTGAAAGATATCATTGTTGTTATTTTCTCATAATAATTAGTCATAGCTGAATTTTTCATTATTATGTTTTGATAAATACACGCAATTTTAGTATTTTATTTATTTATGCAAAACTTTTTCATTTCTCCTAATTAAGGATAGAATTTTGATTTTTTCTTAAATAATTCCAGAAGAAGAACATTATATTCAGCACTTAATCTTATCCATTGATCTCCATTTTCACGTATAGAAGTATCTACTGTTTCCGCAAATATATTAATCAATTCATCCCAATTGCATAATTTCATATTCAAACATTTATGAAATAAATTTGACCAAAGTTCATGCATATACAAATTCCTGTAAATTTAAATGATAAAAATGATATTAATTTTTTTTTTAAGTTTTTTTTTTGCATATATCATATATATATATAAGTGATAAATTCTTAATAATCGAAGCTACTCAGAGTGCTATATTATCTTTTGAATATGACAGATTAAACAAACAAAGATTTTTGCATGTTTTGTAATTGCATGAATTATTGTCACATTAACTGTCAAAATAACTACAGAATTTGTCCTTAATATGAATTAGTAATTTTTTTCAGACAGATGAAAAAAAAGTAATTTCTTTAAAAGCATAGTAAACGTAAGTGTGATAATATTTTTGAAAAGAAAGGAAAAGAAATCAACTTTTTAAAATTATTTTGCAATTTATTATTGCAGGTCAATTGAATAAAAGTAAATAAATATTTAAAATTTTGGTTGGTTGTAAATTTTAAATAAATAAAGAAATAAAAAAAATATAATAAATAAAAAAAAAACTTTTCAAAATTCAATAAAGAAACGTAGCGTCCATTTTTGCATTGTAAATAATGTAATGATTGATTAGAAATTAATTCATTAACAATATTTACAAAGCCAATTTTATCAATTTCGTAATTCTGTGGTCCACATTTCTAAAATTATAAAAAATATTGAAATAGATTTCTGAATTTCTTCAAGTAACTTCCACTGTCATACCACATTTTCTATTTTAATTATTTATTATTTATCGAATAATTTTATCACTTCTATGAACCATTAATGATTGCAATGACATTTTTAATTCACATTTTGTTACTTCCTGCAATTTTTCCGATAGTGTTGAGTAAACAAAGCATTCACTAAAAGAAAAAATAAATAATATTTAAATAAACTATTGATATTATTAAATAAATATACTAAACTTACTTAAACTTATTCATTCAAAAAAAAGGGAAGAAAAAATTAGTCATAATAAATTTATTTAATGATAAATGGAAAAAATTGTATTTGGGTGTATTCGAAAAACATTTTAATATTTAAATAATAAACAATATATTATGGTAAATTAGTAACACTAAGAGGTGTTAGCCTAAGATATAAAAAGTTCGAAAAACAATCCGAAGAGCTAAAATTCATGGTTAAATAATTTATCAAATTCAAAATAAGCATGAATTCATCTCTATCATACGTAATTATCATCCGTGACAATGTTATTTTCATTGATATACTGTCCACTGTGCTTTCTACCATTGGTATTTTGTATTGCAGAATCCCAATTAGCTAATTTTACAAGTAATGTTGCACCATTAGTTAATGTATTAAGCTGTGGCTTATATGCTATCCTATAATTTTTTTTTTTTCACAAAAAATAATTGAAAATTTAGGAAAAACTTGGCAGATCGAAACTTATATTAAAGTTAAAACTTACAAAGCGATTAAAGTTTAAAAGACGTTTCAGCTTTCTAGTAAATCCGATAGTAGTTTAATCAATAATTTAAAAATAATTTAATCAGGTGTTATATTTTGATTGATTGTGAACGAATGTTTGATTAATTTGGGCTGGATAATTAATATTTAAAAGTTGAAATTGCATGTAGATAAATAATTTAGAGTAATTTGGTTATTAAATTTCTTCAAATTAGACCTTAAACTAGATCAAAAAAAAAAAGAAAATTTTTTGAATATATTTTCTGAAATATTTAAATTGAAAACCTTCCAGCAACGAAAATATTATGACTTTTAAAGCAACCATGAATAATATTCATTTGATGTATGCAACGTAAAATTTTCATTAGATCAAGAATTATTATTGCAATTATGAATTCGCTTAATTTTATACTACTATAATCCTGAATTGCTATCAATTCCTGAAATTAATGAAGTGCTAAAAATTAATGCAAAAGTTGGATGAATCAATATAAGAAATATTACTTTAAATTAAACTGTAAAGTTAGTAAATTTTTACTTTTTCTTTTTTTGTTAGTTTTTTTTTTTCCAGTGAAGGATTTGCAATGTTTTTTTTTTTTTTTTTTTTTTTTAATACTGAAATTTGCTTGCTTACTTTCAATGTTCCAGCTGTAAACTCTTGAACAGTTAAGCATTTATCAGTGAAAGAAAGACAATGATATATTCGAATAATTCCTGAGATTAGACGTAATTTCTCTTCCACATACTGATAAATATATGCTTCCCAATAGCTTTGATGTTTTGGTCGTATCTAAACTATACTGCATTTCAGTGAAATTAAATTGGAAAGTTATAATTGGTTTGTTTATTTTCCTAGAAAAAAAAAAAAAAAAAAACGAAACCCTCTCATCCAAAAAATTGCACTTAAAATTGAACAAGTAGAACAAGTAATCAATATATACATAGTTTATTTTGATGTAAAATCGATAAAAAATACTTATTTTTAAGTATTAATTACTTTTAAAATGAAATAACGATTTGGAATGTTTCTGATAGAGCAAATAAAATTTAGTGAACCATTTGAAGTTTGTTCTGGAAATGATAATTTATCAAATGTAGAATTGAATGGTGGCATTTTTTTCTGAAATTTCAAAATAACTATTTAATTAGAATAGCATAATTTTGATTAAATTTTTGAAAGAAATCATTTATCAAAGAATTATTATTACGCTCAATAGACTATTATTTTCACTTTTATTTTTTTTTTTCCGAAAATTTCAAATAATAAAAAAAATTTCACAAATTCGTTACATTGATCTCAAATCATTAGTCAACACGTTGATCTATCCAAATAAACAATTTGACCTATCTATCATTAAATATTTCATTTATAATTCCCTAGATTATTTGATAATATATTTCATATAAAAATAAAGCATTCATATATTACTCTTAAGCTTGTTATTTTTTTCTTGAAAACAATACATAAAAATAAATGGATCTCTAAAAAAATATTGAAAAGAAATGCTTGCATCATAAATTTTTATGAAATTTGGCGTTTTCATATTATTCATTAAGTCTGCTTGCAATTGTTTATCCCACTGATATACCAATGAATCAGTTGTTTCAATAATTGTAGTAGAAGGGATATTATTACTATTATTATTACTTAAAATTAATTCTTCTTCCTTTATAACAAATTGCCTAAAAATTTTATATGAAAAATTTTTTAAGCAAATTAAAAAAATAGGATTTGAAATAGAAACAACAAGAAAAGAAAGAAAATCATTGAATTTTCAAATAATTTTACAATTGAAAAATTAATTCGTAGTTTTTTTTTTTTTTTTGTAATTTATTAAGTTCATTTTTTATATTTTCATTTATAATTCTAAACAGTTAGATTTTTTTGGCATCAATTCCTCCGTTTCTTTTTCTTCTTTTTTCTTTCTTGATATTGTATAAAATAAAATTTTCTAATGTAAATTATCAAGAAGTAAATGACCTTCTCCAGATGCTAATTGTCCATTTTGGCTTAGCATCCATTTTTTCCGCTTTGATAAGAATGGACCGGATGACATTATGATTGTCACCACAACGCTTTACCCAATTAATATAAAAATCTGATAATTGAATAAACATTTTATTATCATAAAATGTATTGAATATTTTCGTAGCATTTGTATCACTTAAAAATTTCATCTGCAAAAAAAAAAAAAATATTTATTCATTCATTTTTTATTAATTATTCAAAATGCAAAATTTTATATCCAATTTTCAAACCATTTATACTAATTCCTTTTTCACAATAAAAATTTTTACAATAAATACACTATGATTGACTTTATTTTTGGATTCAAAAGCGATCAAATTTAATTTGAATTCCTTTTTCCATAGCGTTTTTTCCCGATTGTTTAGATAAAAATTTAATTAATGTAAACAAAAGAGTGTTGGAAGTTATCACTGATTTAAAGATATAAAGCATTGTTATAGTTATATTTTTTCTAGTTAGAAAGAAAAAAGATCGAAAAAATTCCTTGAATTTCGAACAAATTTCAAAAATTAATAATAGCAATATTAGTAATAAATTAAGATTAATTAATTCTGATCAGCTTTGATATATTCAATCAGTACATTCGATTCAGTTAATAAGTAATATTGTTATAAATACTGATAAGCATTAAATTAATTTTATGTTTTTTTTTAAATTAATTTTATGTTTATTATAATTTTTTTTTCTTCGTTTCTTTTCACACTAAAAATTAAAACGAAACAACAAACAACAAGTAGAAAAACACGAAAACATCGGTCATTGTTAGGATATATTTCATCTTTGCAAAGAGTAAGTAATTTTATTAAATTTGGTTTTTCAATTTTAAATATTTCACATTCCGTAAAAGCAGTGCATAGTTGTGGTATATGCCTAAAATTAATACCCGATATAATTAATATCCCGGTGTATAACTTTATTCTCTTATTTGTCAAAAAATAAATTAAATTTGGAAACACGATCAATATTTATTTGTAGATCAGAAAATTTGAGAGATAATTCAATTTATAATTTGTTGAATAATAAGAAAATAAAGTTAAAAAAAAGGAACAATTTTCTTTTTTTTAAAGTGATGATCAATTTAAAGAAAACAAACGCTTGAAATAAAGTTAGTAGATTGACTGTTCCATCTATTGATGGCAAAATGTGAGCTAAAATTTTGAGATTGTATCTAAATTCAACTATGCAGATTAAATGGCATAATTATAATTTTTGTGAATTAAGGTATTAATTAAAAATTTCTGCCTACCAATTAAAAGTTTAAAATAATTTTTGAAATCATTTTTTTCACTTTTTTTTTACCTTTCATTCTTTCACCTTTTATTTCTTTACCTTTTTTGTCAAGCACTCTTTTAGTTTCTGTAATTTTGGAATCAGTTAATTGTCCAACCATATCGTGTAATTATTGATTAACACAACTGTTAGAATAACGCTTAATTATAATTTTATATAACATGAATTATTTCGAAGTATGCAAATTTTTACCACTACTCTAAATTATATTTAAAATTCATTCAAAATTTAAATTGTGCAGGTTTTAAATGAAATAAGCAAAGTAATATTTTCAAATGATTAAATACTAAATTATCTATGCTAAAATTTACTTATTCGAAAATTCTTGTCATATCATTGTTACTAATACTTTATTATTATTTATCGGAGATTACTTATATTACTAGAATATTTCTTGAATATTTTCTATTCAAAATACTAGAATGAACATATAAAATAGACTATTTTTCTGAAGAAATTTTCATTTTCCATTTATGCTTTTTCTGTGGTTACTGATTGTTAGCTTTTTTCAAGGTTTAACTTCAATCATTTATTGCATTTTTTATTTTCAATGAAACGAGAAGAATTGATTTGCATAATTTTTTTAATCATAGAGCGTTTTTTATCTTTAATGTAAAAAGCATTCCGTTTCTTTTTTCTTTTTTTTCCGTAGGGAAGCGTTTTTATCCTTACATTTAAAAACTTATAAAAGTTTAACTAAGAAAAAAAACTTTAATTTATTTTGTTTACTGCACTACTGATAATAAATATTTGCCAGTTCAAATTCGTCATATAAATGAGGTCTTTAGTTTAAAAAGAAAATTCAAATAATCCAAGTAAAAATTCCTATATTTTTTTATAAAATCTACACATATTAAATTTCTAGATAAAATTTTTCTATAGTAAGTAGCACAAAAGCAATTGGCCATTCAAATTTACCATACAAATTGGTCTTTAGTTTCAGGAAAAAATTAAATGAACAGAAAAAATATTTCTATATTAAGTAGCAATAAAAGCTTGTAACATTAAAAACAAATTGTGTAATCGATAATTGTCATATGCCATATTCTTATAATTTATAATTTTTTGAATAAAAAAATTTTTTTAACAGTTAAAATTTAGGTAGTAAATGTGGAAGATTTGGAAAAATCTCCGAAGATGATAATCTCGAAATAATAACCAAATGTCAATCATTATACAAATATAGCAATCGTACTATCAAATTTCAAAAAAATAATAAAGCACAGTTCAAATTATTAGGTGGAGAAATAATTTCATCTGCTGATTATGGTCATTTAGTGCAGATAATTCATATCAGAGAAAATGTTAACGGTGAAGCAGGTTAAATTTATACAATTGTTTTAAAAGTTTAATTTTTAAAAGGTTACTTTTAAAATTGATCGTTTATTTTTCTAAAAAAAATTAATCTTTAAATTTTCCAAGAATTCGTATTGTCTTTTCACTCTGCTTTCTTATTTATAGTGTAATTTCTATTTTTTTTTTGCTCGCATAATTTTCAAAATTCACTTTTAAAATTTTGTAATGTCGATTTCTTTCATTTTAAAAGTTTTTTTTGAAAAATTTGTAAATGTATACACAATGGCTTTCTTTGTTAAAAAAAAAATTTATTAATTTAAATTCATTAATTGACATATGCAAACTTCTGCAATAACTAGTTGATTAATAAAATTAACAATTTTACAATGATTAGCTAATAATAAAAAAATAAAAGGAATTTGAAAATTTATTTTTTTAGATATTAATGTTTGTTCGGGAGTTATTATTACTCTTCGTCATATTATAACAGCAGCCAGTTGCTTGGATTTTAATGAAAAGTAAACATTTTTCATCTTTTTTTAAAAAAAAATAACAATGAACTGATAATCTCATTGAAATTTTTAATATTTTCCCGAAATCAGAAAATCAACTAGTCACATGAAAAGAATTAAGAAAAATTGAGAAAAGAAAAGCATAAAGTTTCTTTTATTTGTTCTTGAATAGCGAAAGAAAAAATTAATGAAAGAAAAATTTTTTTAATACAAGAAAGACATTAAAATTTGAATGGCAAAAATTTAATAAAAGAAATTGCTTCTAAAATAGTGAACTTTAAATTTCCTTTAAATATTAATTTGAAAATTTTACTTTCAAATACTTTTTGCAAATTTTTCACTATCATTTATTTTTCAACTAAAGTTCCACAAACTTTTTATCCTTTTTTTTTTGTTTATCTAGGAGAAATTTTCTTATCTGTTATATTCCGATGCTAATTTAAATTATGATATATGTTTTGAAGTTTGATAAAAATTTTGATACCATAATTTACCTTTTATACTTCGATGATAATTTTAATTAATATATTTTACACAGTAATTCAAACATAATTTATCCATTTATACTTCAGTGATAATAGAAATTTTTATCTTTTATACTCGATAATTTCAATCACTATTTCTTTACACTTCAATGATCATTTAATTATGATATATATAGAAAATTTATTTGGTTCATTTTTTAAGTGGTCTAAAAAACACACCTGTTAATGAATTCAAAATCTATGGTGGTGCATCTTGTTTGTATATTAGTGAGGAAGATAAAAAACTCTATGATAATGTATCAAGATTTGTATGTTTATTTTTATTTTGTTTTTTCCTATCATTAATTACAACAAATTCAAATTAATATTTCTAAAATAATGGGAAGAGAAAGAAAAAAACGAAAAATTTCTTCAAATTAATATTTATGTAATAAATATTTTACAATTACAATTTATATTTAATTTTGTTATTGTGATCATTTCGTTAATATTAATATTAATTTAGGATTGTCCAGATAGAAATGAAAATAAATTAAATGTTGCATCAATTAAACCAATTGCATTACTTGTACCAATGTCATCAATAATTAGTAATGTTGCTTCTGTAAGTAATCCTTTCATTTCTGCCATTTAATAAACAAAAGAAAGATACTTATTTTATTAATTATTCATCATATATGCATTTTTAAATAGCAATTTTGATAATAAATGTTCAGTGTTGTTAGTTCATTTTATTACAAAATGATTTATGAAATAAGTAATAGCCTAAAAGCCTAGTAATAAATGATTATAATATGTTTAAACTGATAAATAATAGCCCAATAGCCTAGTACCGAATTAATTATGATCGGTTTAAGCAGATAAATAATAACCCCTAGTAATGAACGATTATAGTTTGCTTAAGCATCTGATGGTATTTAATTCTAAGGCCAAATATTTATAATTTATGTTATAATTATAATTATGGACGAATTTTATGCTCAATGAAGATATCACTCTATTTTTGAAAATTTTATTAATTAACCATAAATAATGAATTACTCTCATCTATTATACGGCATTTTTAATTAGACCTTAAGCAGTCATCTTTAAGCTTTAATTAATCTTTCCGTTATTTAAACAAAATTAAATTTAATATTAAGCACAAGCTTAATTTAATGGACCTTACTCATTTTAACAAATTTTATATTTTTTTTAACATTTTTTTTAAAACATTTAACAAAATTATATATGGAGATAAAATAGATAAATGGGCAATTAAAATTTATACTGGAAAATATTAGAGCAGATACTTTTAGTTGATGATTAATTTATTATTTAATTAGTGTCACAAAAAATAATTACTAAAAGCATTTGATAACCAATTAATATTATTCAAAGCAGAAATTTTGCTAAAAATTCAAAAATGAAAAAAGTGGAAAATAGTAAAAGTAAAAAAAAAATAGTGAAAGTAATTGATTTATTGCAGATTCGTGGTGTTCCATTTTATAAGGCATTTTCGGATATAGCAATTTTTGAAGTGGAACCGCTAGATAAATTAATCCGAAAATTAAATGAAGAAAATGAACATGATAAGGAAGAGGTAAATCTTGATTTAGCATGCATATCAGAATCAATAATTCGAAATGAAGGAGCTATTTATATTATTGCTTCATATGGACGTAAAAGTAAGCTTTCCTTTCCCAATTACAATATATTTAATTTAACTTTTATTCCAATACTTTCTTCTTCGTTTTTTTTTTTAAGCAATATATTAACATAATGATCAATGCATAGTTTACATTTTTAACAAATTTTTTACGTGTTTTACAAATACTGATTTTTTATCATAATTAATTCATTATTATAATTGATTAAACTATTTATGATAAGGATAAATTTAAATTTAGAAAATTTAATGCATCACAAAGACAGTAATCCAATTAATGTTAAATTAAATCTTCTACTGGAAAATAATGTTTACATTGATGAATGTCCACCAAGTATTCCATTATCAGCTTGCGAACGCATTATGATAATTGAAAGTGAACAAACTGCTACTGAAGTTTGAAATTACTCGCTTTTTTTTGAAAAATAAAAAATAAAAAAACATGTGCATTAAGTATAATTATTTATTAGTTAATAAAATGTTAGCTATTTGAAATTTTATTCATTAATTAATATTAATTTAAAAATTGATCGAAATTTTTTTTTGTTATTGCAATAATATTTAATGTCATCTTTTTTTTTGACATTTAATTTACCAAATTTATGTTTGTTTTACATAAAAAAGAATTTGTAAAATGCAATCAATTTTTTTTTTTTTTTTAAATTTCAAGGGTGATGGTGGTGCAGCAGTTATGAGAAAGCAGCGTAACCTTCCAGTACTGATAGGTATTCTTTCATTTCGACAACATATTGGACGAGCTTATGTAAGTTTCTAAACAAAAATAAGCTAAATTATATTCAGTCATAAAGTCAAATTATTCAAAAATATTTGTGTAAATTTCATTCAATAATTTATAAATTACTAATGACCAAAAACGTATTTTGAATCATTACAAAACGATTTATTTCTTTAGTATTTTTTTAGCAGAACTTGTAATGAAGCATTTTTTTTTAAAAAAGACATTTTAAATTATTACAAAATGACTAGTTTTCTTACAGCAAATTTTCAAATATTTAAATTATTTGTTTTTCTTTTTCTATGTTTATGTTTTTTTTTTTTTTTTTTTTTTTTTTTTTTTTTTTTTTTAAATCGATTAAATGTTGATGATACTAGTATGGAAGTAGTTTTTATTTTTGTTGTTTGCTTGTTGTTTTTGTGAAAACAGTTTAATTTAATAATATTACCACTCATCTGTTGTCATTTATCAGTAATTTTTAGTTATGTCAAAATTCTCATATATTTGTTTAATTAAGATATAATTTTTTATAATTTTATTTTTATATTTTATTTGTTTTTTTAAGTTTATTTTAATATTTTAGACAAAGTTTATGTTTGCAACACGTATTAGTGAATTTCATGATTTTTTTTGCTATTATATTGGTATTTGCATATATGAAGAATTCATTGATAATGAATATTGGAAACATCCTGATGATGTAATCATTATCACTGAGAAGGCTAAAAATGATATATATGGTATGTATCATAAAAGGAGCAATGATATCTTATCTTTATTAATTCATCTATTTATTTCGTATGAATATTTTAGATAATGATTTTAGAGAGAAAATTTTAGCTTATTAAAAAGAAAAAAACGATTTTTCTCATATCATTATCAGTTATCATTTTTAGTGATAGTATATAGAAAGAGAATTATAGCCTCCTAGTAAAGAGTGAATTATATTATTGTTTATTTAATTGATGAGAGCAAATTACAGGTAAACGTTGTGTTGCAATAACATTATTAAAACACTATAGAATAGTTATTATGCGCAATAGTGATGATAAGCATTTGAATATTATCAAATGAGATACATATTTGTTGTGATTTTTTTACGAATAAATTTTAAAGTGAACAATTTGATGATATTATCAAAATTTCTTCAATATTATTTTTTATTCAATATTCACTATTATTTTTTGAATAAGCAAAAGCGTAATTAAAGGAAAAGCAAACATTATGCAAAAGCTCTATTACTGAAAATGATAACTGATTAATTGATTAAAAATTGATCATTAGGTGTGCCATTTTAGAAACAAAAATCAATAAATTTTAGATAAATTTTGTTTTATATATGAGTAAGTTTAGTATTTTCTATATAATAACATTATTCATTATACCTTACCTTTATTTGTTTATTTTTTATTTATTTGTTTACCTTTTTATTTATTTATTTTTTTTGAACGATGATGGCATAAATTTTGACATTTTTACTTTTGATAAATGTTATCATTTTTCTAGGTGCTTTTTAATTCTATAAATCATGCAAATATGAAATATTAATGACTATTATGAGACAATTATTTTCCTTCAGAATATTTCGTTTTGAAATGTTTTTTATATGAATGTTAAAACTTAATTTCAATTAGCTGTAATCGATTTTAAAATAAAAATACACATAACTCATAATTTTTGCTTAATAAATATTTTGTGACAATTTTTTTACTTTATTTTAAAGTATTTTTTCGAAATGAATTGAAATGTCTTTTCAAATGCTAGAAATTGTAAATGCTAAAAATCAAATTTTAATTAGTTGTAAACAATTTCAAGATTAAAAATACATCATTTTTTAGCACAAATATAATTTCGCTCATAAAAAGGAAATGTTAATTTAACTTTTTAAACTATACTAGTACTCGAAGTAATGTAATATAAATGATGAATTTTAAAAGGAAATTACAAAACAATTTTTTCAAAAATAATGAAAAAAGAAAGAAATTTATTTCCAGTAAATATTGACAATATCGACATATTCAAGAAAACAACTGAAGAGCAAATAAAAATAGATAATTTTTCAACCTGCAAATTTCAACATATCTCTTATTGCTTACCAAGTGTTTTAATTACTATCATAAATTATCAATTATTTAATTTGTAAAAAGAATTCTGAACTTTTTCATAGGATCTATGCTTAATAAATTATATCTGAATAATAAAACATTAAAAGAATGATTAGTGCAGCATTCAATAATTTATTTTTATATTTTATTTCTTATTTTTGCTGAACATTGAAGCATAAAATATAAGATTAAATTTAAAAAGAAAAAAAAGTTTTCTTTTCTTTCAAATAAATTAGTGAAATTGAGAAATGCATGGATTAATATTATTTAAATTTCATTAACAACTTTCATTAAATTTCATAAATTTCATTAAAATTTCATTAATAATTTATTGCAGCAATAATTAATTTCATTACATTTTTTTATTTCTTTATCAACAAATAACATTTGAGTTGAAAAAATAGTTTTCGCAGTTTTTTTCTTTTTCAAATTTTAAGAAGTAAATCTTAGTCCATACTTTCCCATATAATAATATCTTTACATCATTTACCTTTTACCATTTACCTTCATTTACCTTTCATCTTCTACTTACCATTTACCTTTTATTTAACTTCTACCTCATTTATTGTCATCATGATATATAACTTATTTAGTTTAGCTACAAAAAAAAAATAAATAAATAATTAGTAATTTTCTTCCCTCCAAAATATGTCTTTTTTTTGATTCAATTGTAATTTTAAATATTGTTGAAGTCTTTTTTTTTTTAATTACACATTCAGTGATATTACTCAATTTTGATTATATCACCCTTTTCATTGACTATTGATAATATTTTTTTAATGCTATATTATCTAATCGACAAAGATATCAAATAAGCATGAAAATCAAACTTAAGTCATTTATTTAATTTAAGAATAATTTAATAATTCAGCTATTGTTTGAATTCGATCGCAATTATCTAAGTCTAATTAACACTCTTTCATTTAATTATTGTGTAACTTTTTTCCTCTCAAATAATCTTACAATCATTTTCAGTATTAATTAAATAATTATAAAATGATGGACATATGCACACACAAAAAAAAAAAAAAAAAAACACTTTTGACAAATTTAACGTAAAATTGAATAAAATAACTGTTTATTGGATTTAAATTTTTTTCAAAATTACATTTTTTTTGGGTTATTTTAATTAGAAAGGAAAAAAAGAGCGAAGAAATAAATTGATCACATAAGATCAACAGCACTATCAGTCGTATTATAATCATTTGGATATGGTGGTGCACTCTCATCGATAAACATATAATCATTTGGTAAATTCACAATTGTTAAATTAAATGGTTTATCAAATTTAATTATAATCTAAAACAAATAATTTTTATGAACATTTTTAAATTTAGCAATAAAAAAAAGTGAAAAAATTTGCACCTTCACCATTTTGTTTTTTCTTCCTTATCGTCAAAAAAAAATTAAAAATAAAATTAAACAATAAATAACATTTGCAATCATTCATTACGGTAGCAATAAATAATACAACAAATAAAGAGCACAAATTGTTAACATCATTCTATCATTTTTTCATATTTTTATAATTAATTTAATTTTTTTTTTTTTTTTTTTTTTTTTTTTTTTACAAATACATAAATATCTAAAATTAAGAAGTAAAAATGTTACATTTTGACAGCATTTGATCATAAGTAATTCAAATGTTGCAAAAATAGCCCAAAACCATGCAACATATTTGCAAATTTTCCATTCAAATGGAAAAGCTGCGCCCAAATTTCGTAACAATTCAATTGTACCATTCCAATTAAAATCGATGATAGTTAAGGCTAAATGAGGAAAAAAAAATGATTGATTAAAAAGATTAAGGAGAGTTCATTTACTATTTTGTCAAAAACATGTATTCTCATTAAATTTATTTTAATTTTTTTTTTTTTTGTTTATTTATTGCTTTTTTTTCTGAGATGATCTTTGATAATCTATTAATGTTATTTGTAATGCAAAATGTATGTTTTTTAATTATTTCAATTAAATTAACACATTTTAATGAAAAAAAAAAAAAAAAAAAACGAATGAAAAATTAATGCTTTTTTGTTGAAATGATCTTTGATGAAGCATTGGTGTTATATATAATTCAAATGGATAATTTTATTTTATTTTTTGAAATGATCATTAACAAAACTGTTGGCATTATTTGCAATGTAAAATTTATGATTTTCAATTATTCCAATTAAATTAACATTTTCTTTTTTTTTTAAAAAAAAAGGGAAGGTATTAACCTTCCTTTTATTGAAATGATCTCTGATGAAGTATTAGTGTTATTTATATTGTAAATTGTACAATTTTAATTATTTTAATTAGATTAATAGGGATAAAAAAAAGAAAGAAAACGAACGAAAACATTTTAATAGAGAAATGTTTTTGTTAAAAACTTACATATTGAAATGATAAGCCAACAAATGAGCTCACAGAAAGTTTGAATTGTTAATGATGATTTGTCTTTATCTGTTATAAATTCAAAAATATGTGTAGACAGAAAAAATATAGTTATTGTGGCGGTAATTACTGGTATTAACAAATGTGCTGCAAATACATTAGTATATAAATATATATGTGTGTATCTGTGTGCAAAAATATTTAAGTTTGAGATAAGATTAAAATTTAATCACTTAAACAAGTTTAGACCTGAAATTTAAGCTTCTATAAATTTGTATGTAAAATTATATGTTTTGGTGAAACCATTTTTGTTTTTGCAATTCACACTTTTCATACTTAAAATTGTCGCCATCATAAAGATAATTAATCATATCAAATGATAATTCCTTACTTTATCGATCAAAGAATATGCCAATTAATTTATCATTGATTTTCTTCGTTTGAGAAAACTGTTTAAAGAGAATTTAAAAGAAAATTAATTTCAACTATACCTGATCCATACTGCTTATTAGTAGCGCCGAATCGTTGACGAAATCCAAGCAATACACATATACTATTAGCAGTAAACTTTTCATAATAATATTCATGTCTAAAATATTAATCTTAAAAAAAAAAAAAAAAAGAAAAAAAAAAACTGAAACTGAAAAATTTACAAAGAATTTTATATATACATTTGCAAATTTCAATTTTGTACAACAAATCATTTGCTTTAAACAAATGCTTTATTAATTAATTTATTATTTTTGCTTCAGAACATACAAAACAAAGTAGAAAATTTTATGAAACAAAATAACCGAATATTTAGCCAAGTGATATTATCTATTGGATCATCAAACTGCTGTTGTAAAATCTCAACAACTGTATCATTTTTCACTAATTTCAAATTTTCCTGTAATTAATTATTTAACATAATTGTTTAACCGATTCCAAATGTTCCTATAATTAATTGTTTCATATAATTATTAATGCCTTTTAATGCATTTAATGCTTCTAATATTGTATTTGCATATAGTTAAGTATAAAAAAATTAATCCTGAGCTTTTTTTTTATTTTATACTTTTTCTTTATTACAATTTTTATTTTGCTTCAAAAATTGAACTTTTTTTCAACTTATCGTCTTCATTAATACAAAAGTAACTTTTTCATCCTTAACTTTTACAAGAATAAATAAATCTTAGTAGTTCCAAGGAAAGAGAAAAGGAAAATAGATCAAAAAATGTTAATATCTTTATCACTTTCTTTCTTTTCTTTTCTTTAAAATAAAAAAAAAAAAAAAAAAAAACGTGTTTAAGGAACGTGAGACAAACACGTAGTTCTAGCGCACATTGCTCATCATTAATATAAGCTTTTTCAAGTTCATTATCTGTTACTTCACGACAAATATATACAGGCCAAAATAATAGCACTAGCATAATAATTACTGCTGCACATATTTCACATACATGTGGTATAAGCAAAATATGCATTTCTTCGCCTCTTCAAATCTTAAAAATTTGAAAATAAATCGTTCATTATCTCTGATTTTTCATTAAGGGCAAACATAATCTATGATATCGTTTGATAAATACCCACCCATTAGAATGCACTCACGTAACCTATGATACTTCCTGATAGTAACGCATACATAGGATTACATTTAATTACTTTCCTTATCACCATATTTCATATCAGTACTTTTCAAAATGTGATAATTATTCGTTATCAAAAAAAAAAATTTTTAAAGTGGTATTGAAAGAAGACTGTAAAATTCATAATCTCTCCATATATAACACTGACAAAAGCTACTGTATTACTGATACATATAATTATTGATACTGTTGTGAATCCTGTAGAATATTTGATAAATTTGTACTGTTTAATAATATTTACATTCATCTATTTTATGATTTAACGAAAAACATTTAAGTTTTTTTTTTTTCTTTGATTAATAATTACTCAGAAATAATTTAAAATATAAGTCGAAGTTTCCCAAATATGAGAAAAATCCAAATAACAACCACTAACCTTCAGCGTTACTAAAATCGTAAGTGGTGAAATAATTCGAATTATTTTATTTCTTAGCTCAAAATTAAAAAAAAAAAATTTGCATATGTACATCGAGTGCATTTTTAAAAAAATAAAGTAGAGAAATTCAATGTGTTGAACAATTTATGATGACTATTGAATAATTTGCATATTAATTGTTTTGATTAGTTTGAAAAAAATGTCACTTACTATACTTCGTTAAGATATAACCAGAAATTATTTATTAATGGTTATTCTAAACTTTCAGTATATTCAGGAATTACTTATTAATGATTATTCTAAACTTTTCAGTATTAAAACTTTTATTTTTTCCACTGATAAATTATTACATTTTTCTAGGTGAAATGAAAATGTTATGAAAAAATAATTAATTGCCTTCGTTTTCAAACTGATCAAAATAATCGGAAAAAAAAAACGAAATAAAATGATGTGAAAAAAAACTTTTCACATCATTTTGAATGGTAAACAATTTGCCGATTTATTTCCAAATATGTGCAATTAGAAAAATGATAAACAATTTTTTTCTTTCATATTTGCTCATCAAATGACAATCACACTTATTCAATTTCGAAAAAATGAGAAAATTTATTCAATTTAGGCTATTCGTCTAATTTTCAATTTTTGAACTTATAAAATGGGTTTGGAATAAAAACTGGAAATAAGAGAAAAGTACGATAGTAATTAGTTAAAGTTATTGTCAAGAATAATTTTCCAAATTTATCATTAATAAATGTTTATATTTATTTATCATTAATTAGTATTATACTTTTGAAAGCTTCATAATTGAAATAATCAGCATAAATTATAGTTAGCAAATTAATTAAAATAATTGGTTAAATAATGCAATTTAGCACAATATATAAAGATTAATAATAATTTTAAAATAAAACATCATATTCAGTCATAATGAAATATCATTTAGTAAATAGTACTATTTTTAAAAAAATAACATTTAAAATATGAGGGCAAGAAAAAAAATTTTTTTGAAAGCTTTTCTTTGTTTTTTTAAAACATATTGCTACCGCATGTTTTTTTTTTTTTTATTTTGCTATTGAAAGTTGATGAGAAAAATTTTAATCTTAGCCAAATACAACTTTATTTATTTTTAATTACTTGGATTAAAAAAAAAAAAGAAGAAAACGAAACAAATAAAGTGAAGCATTTTTCATAATTTTTGACTACTTTATTCAATGTATGTAATTTTTGATTAAATTAAAACATGATAATATGGTAAGTTATTTTTATTATAAGATATCAATAATGCAAAGTTAAATTTCAAAATATATAAAAAGAAGAAAGAAATACTTTCTTTCTTCTTTTTTCTTTCAAAAATGTTGATTATTCAATTTATAACGTGCATTAAATTCATTCATCCTATTTTATGCTTTATAAAATGACATCATTATAGAACTTTCTTATTTAATTATCATTTCTAACTTTTCCACATTTCAAAATTCATAAATACGAATATCAATATATATATATGCTAACAAAAATTTATTCAAATTTTAAAGTTAAATTTTTTTATGTACCTTTGAATCAAAGATTATGTTTCTTTGATTAAATTCAACTTCATTTAAAATATTTAACTTTATGTATAATCTTAAATTCATTATTTAATCATTTAATTATGGTTCCTTTCACGCTCTTTTTAAAAAAATTTTCTTGATTATTTTTATCTACAATTATTTCATTTTATCTAAGAAAAGTAAAAGATTAAATGAGTGAAAAAAGTCATAGGTGAAGTGTCACATTTTATTAATATTTTCTTCATTTAGTATTTTGCGCTTCTTAATGCACTGAATGCATTTGAAAGAGAAGTTTAATGATTTAATTTAGTATTTTAAATGAAATCATCGTATTCAAACAGTTTGTAAAAATATTATCATATAAACTGATAAATTCTTATGTAATAAAAAGGTTAAAATAAAGTTAAACTTTATTTCAAGTTATTTTTTGCAGTCAGTTGTTAAAAGTGTGTAACGAAATTTAATTTTATTATGTTTTTAGATTTTTGAATTCACAAAAAAAAAGGAAAGAGAAGAAAAAGATGAATCATAAACCATTCAATGTTTAAGAAAATGTTGTAAAGTTGAAAATAAATTCTATAGAAATTCATCTTTAACTAATTCACTTCAAATGTATTATATCAAAAATTTTTTCTTTTTTTTTTTAATGAATTATTAAATATTTTAGTTTGTAAAACATTTGTAAGGTTGAAATAAAATAAATGAATGAAAAAAATCTTTCCTTTCCTTTTTTTTTATAGAAATAATTTAGCTTATACTATTTGAAATATTTTAGAAGAAAGAATATTGCCACTTGAGATTTAAACCAAATACTATTAGTGAAAGATGATTGATGTGAAAAATTTTTTCTACTTCTTTTAATTTCCGTTTTTTTCATTTTCAAAATGTATTTAAAAAAAAAACAGTAATTGAATTAAAAGACATGGAATGCTTTTTTTGTCCAAAAACCGCAAAGTATTGTTATGCTTTCTGAATTCTAACAATATCCCACAAAATATGCCAACAATAAACTTTGCCTTCCAAAAAGATTCTTCGAAATGTTTACTAAACAGAATTAATCCATCGAACTTGCCAACTATTTGTCACATCCTTCTTTCGTGTCATCTTTCACTCTCTTTTACTTAATGTATCAGTTAGAAGATATGAATCGAAAAAAAGAAATTCTGCCGTTAATATTTGTGCGCTCTTACATACATACACATGCACATAAATACACATACACGCAACATACACACATGCATTATACATGCACATAAATACACATACACGCAACATACACACATGCATTATACATACACATAAATGCACATATACAACGCACACACATGCATATCTCCCAGGTAATATTGGTAATTTTGTTTATCATTGTAAGCAGTAAAATTTTCTTGTGGGAAATGAAAAAGATAATTATAAAGAAAGAAAACGAAGGAAAAAAAAGCGAAAATTTTCATCTCAACAGGCGTTCATCCATTTTTCTTTGATATATTTTTTTTTTTTTCCTTTTCTTTCTTTCTTTTTTCCCTTCACGAAAACTAAAATTGAAAAAGAAAAAAAAAATGTAAAATTAGCAAGAAAGAAACATTATGATAAACAAATTTTGTCGTTTTAAATGAATGACATTTTTAATTCGTTTTCCAACAATTTCTTTTAGTTAAACAACGAAGCAAAACAAAGAAAAAAATATTGCCACTAGCATAATAAACAAAAATCAGTATGGTAAAAACAAATGAAAAGTGGACAATTACGTCAATCGATGAATATTTGAAAAAAAAAACTCTTTTTTCGTATGATTATTTTGCACTTTTTGTTTACATTTGAAAAACGCCAGATTTTTTTCAAGTTCAAAAAAATAAAAGGCATCATTTCTACAAGACAGGTGAATTTAAAATATGTGATATGAACGATGGATGGCACTGATATGTTTTGTTATTGTTATTTGTTGTTCTTTACTGTATTTCATTTTTCCTTTTTCTTTTTTCCATTTCTTTCTTCCCAAATATTTTTATTTAAATATTAAATTAATTAATCAATTATATTGTACTATTTTTATCAGTGAAAATTTCTGATGCAGTTAATTGATTAATTCTATTCCAAGACATTTGTAATTAACAGTTTCGGATGTTTAAATGTGTCATTTTGATTAGTAGTGATAAATATTTTGGTGACAATTTTTTTTTTTTCTCTTTTGCTAATTATTTCTTCCTATCATATAATCAGTAGTTTTTTTCTTCTAAATATCTCTAAATTGTTTGTCACTGAATAATTAATCATATTAACAAGTAATTGGCAAAAGATTGGAATTGAAAATAATTTGAATTACAAGAAAAATCGCTAACAATTTCAATCACTTTATAAGAATATCAAATTTGAATTTCAAATTGATTATTTGATTACGACAAATATTCGCATTAATGATGGCTATTTAAACAATAATGACTTTTTTTTTTTGTTTTCAAATAATGTATATATGTGAAATCAACAAAACTATCAGTATGATGCTAAATTTTGTTCATTATTTAACGATCTTTGTTTTTAATTAAGTTAAGCTTTTTTACAAGCCTTAACAAAGGCAAACAGTTCAATTTTAGGCTTCATCCAAGGCTAACTATTTATTTGTGATATGATCAATTAAATGTTATCTTAAATGCTTAAAGCATAGACATTTTTGTAATTTGATTAATATTGAGATTTTAACAACAAAATATCAAAACATTATTATCATATTTTCAAATTGTCTTAAATATTTACATATCATAATGATCTTAATCCTTTCTTCCACTTGTAAATTTTCCTAAAATTCATTTTTTCTTTGAAAGAATAAAATACTGAAAAAAATATTATTTTTTTATTTCTCTTTTAGAAAATATTTACAATTTTGATAAATGTAAGAATATTCATATTCTTTTCATAAA